TCCTCGATCACCTCCGGAGACAGAGTGGATTCAGCTGGTGTCTGCTCCTGAGGATCCGGCACAGGTGAGGGCCCTTCAGATTCAGGCCCCTGCCCTGGCTCAGCCGGCCCTGGAGGTGGGGACTCCTGTGCAGGCTGGGATTCCTCAGGTTCAGTCTCTGAATCAGATTCCCAGGCCATCACAGCGGGGAAGCGAACCCAGTTCACCAGATTATGAGTCTACCACTCTTAACCACTACACCACACTGGCTTTATCTTTACCTTTATGTTTTATATGCAAACCACTTTGGTGAGACGTCCCAGAAGTGAAAAGTGATATAGAAACTCTCCAAATAGTTAATAAAAAAAATGCAAGCTTCACTTTTCCATAGGACAGCCACAGTGTCAAAACCAACATTTTGCGGCAAGAAGTACTGCAGATCTAAAGGGAGAGAAAAAGCAGGCTCCCTATAACAGCTTAGTCAACGCAGGGACTTCCCACTCAAAGGAAATACTGTCATGGTTAGGATGACTGTATGGAGGTTTATACACAGCACTGATCCAGTCTGAGTAAATAGGATTCCAACTGAGGTTACTTATCCCATTCCCGCCCCTCCCTGCTTGCACCCTTTCCATCATCACCCATTTTGACCTTCATTGACATTGCAATGTTTTGGTAATGACACGGGGCACAGCATGACAGCAGCATCACAATGTCAGATTATGGCATGCTAGGGGACTTAGTAGTGACCCTGCCTTGTCCAGCCGGCATAACAGGAGGATAGGCTCATGCTGTAAAAACAGCCAGTAATTAAATCGCTTATTTGGGAGCAACACTGAGCACACAGCCTGATGGGCTTTGTTATAATTAGCTAATGACACATAGAACCAAATATGCAAAGCAGGTATCTTGGGCACTCTCTTTATACAACAGAGCTTTTCCAGAATATGTCTGCTATGTTGACTATGTCCATTTCCTCCCGGGGATTCAAAGGCTCCTGTGACTTAAAGGGCTCTACAAAATCAGGACTAGTGTTCTCTCTCTCTCTCTCTCTCTCTCTCTCTCTCTCTCTCTCTCTCTCTCTCTCCAAACCAAGTAGGACAAAGTTGTTTATAGACCAAATCTGTCACCTAGGTAGCTATAAATACTTTTCTATCCTAGTCTTCTAAGGTGATGGGTTAAGCAGGTTCAGGCTAATCTCTGTTTTCAGCTAGGCTTCATGGGGATGAGACTAATCATTTTTCCATCAACATAGTGTTCTCTGAAAACACTAATACCAACTACTGACACTAGATGTCACCAAAAGAACGGATCATTCCCCACTCCAAAAGGTGCTGGCTCTTTGTTGTTGACACATTTTCATGCAGGTGAAGGCTAATACCTGTTTTCGACCTAGCTTCCTAAGGATTGTTGTTCCATCAGCAGGGTTTCTGCCTTTGCTCCTTGCTTATGACATATCTAGGTTTTTATTGTTTTATTTTTGTTACTGTTCATATTTATGCTCTGTTACTTAAGCCAAATTTAGGCTACATTTGGGTTACAATTTGTGAGAGCTTGCCGAAAACTACGAAACTAGCACTAGATGTTGCCAAAGGAATACAGATTTCTCATTTCAAAATGTTTCAGCCCTGTGTCGATGTTTTTTAAGTACAATATCACTTTTGGTGATCTCCATCGAACCAAGTAAAGAGCAGCATCTAAGCATTTAGTTTGGGGTTTTCATTGCAGAGCAAAAAAGCTGATGGGTCCCCCTCTCCCCTGTTAACACCAGCGAACAATTATATATAGGAATAGGCTAATGGGAGTACCTTGGTCTTTGCCCAACGACTTAGGCACCAAATTTTAAGAGATATTTCATTCGTAATAGTGGGCCCCATGCAGTTGGCTTGTGAGAACATTGCAGCCCTGGCTGTCTTTGTTGGGATACTGCCAGGGAGATGGAGGCATCAGGCAGGCCTCCAGTTGTCTCCGGACGATCACCGATCGCCCGTGGAACAGCATCAGTCAATTAGCGACACAAGCCTCAGAGACATTCCAAGACCCGTGCACACCCTTTCAGCAGTCTCCACAATGAAAGATGCAGACAGGAGAGTATATTTACAGCTTTATTCAACGTAGTTCAGAACAAAGGAAAACATGACTGCTTGTCTCCGTGTCCAGGAAAAAAGCCAGAAACAAAAGCTATATACAAAACGGAAGTTCCCAGCAGACAGTGCTGGGAGTAAACAGGCATGTGATACACAACAATCATGCCTGACCCTTTAAGGTGGAACGGAACTATATCCTAACAGTCTTGTACAGGAATTACTGTTTGTGTGAACCACCAACATGGGTGTCATGTATGTTTCACTTGAGATTTCAGTGGTGGAGATGCTTGTTTGTACAGACGGGTGGTGCTGTGGTTTAAACCACTGAGCCTCTGGGCTTGCTGATCAGAAGGTCAGCGGTTCGGATCCATGAGACAGCATGAGCTCCCGTTGCTCTGTCCTAGCTCCTGCCAACCTAGTTTTTCGAAAGCATGCCAGTGCAAGTAGACAAATAGGTACCACTCCAGTGGGAAGGTAAATGGCATTTCCGTGCACTCTGGTTTCCATCACAGTGTCCCGTTGCACCAGAAGCAGTTTAGTCATGCAGCCCACATGGCCTGGAAAGCTGTCTGTGGACAAATGCCGGCTCCCTTGGCTTGAAAGCAAGATGAGCGCCACAACCCCATAGTCGCCTTTGACTGGACTTAACCATCCAGGGGTCCTTTATCTTTTTACAGACGGTGGATCCATGCACACATGACTAAGCCAGCATCAGCCCTCCATAATGACATGTGGGCATAATGTCATAGGTGAACTGTTGCTTTGCTCCACCTTTTATCAATCTCACAGGCCCCTTTAGATGAAAATTGTGAGACTACCCCCGGTGTCACTGAACTCTCCCACTCCATTTGATGTTTACCAATTTCTTGTGTAGAAGATCTAGTGACTTTAGAGCTTTATTTTCTATCGTGTCATTTACACCTGGGGTGTGTTATTTTCTTTTGAGTCTTTTAGGTAATTTTGGGTCATTTAGATTGTTTTCTGCTGTGTTGTTTACACCTGGGGTGTGTTGCATTTCCAGAGATGGTATAGCAGAGTCAGTGAAGCAATGTGGCTATGAGCTAGAAAGCCCCTTGTTTAAACCTCACCTTAGTCTTATACTCCTCCCCCCAAGAAGCCTATATATGTTCTTCCCTGGTCTCTTATCACAGGCATGTGAAGATCTCTCCCCCCCCCAGGTATTTGGGAATTAGATTGAGATTCCATTTTTCTTTTCTTTTATGACATTCTAATTTTCTTGGGGGGGGAGGGGAGTAATTAATGACATTTTCAGTGCTATTTTTCCTAGCAATGGTGCCCCCCTGAGAGGTTCCGGAACTGAGTTTTGTTGAGTTTCGGTTGAAAAACAGGCCTGTTTATTCTTATATTGGGAACTTGTGTCATGTTGAAAGCTGGTCTCTAAACAGTTTAGAGTTAACCTATCACTTAACCATGGGCTTCCTGGCTGAATGTCCACTGCAATTTCCTTTGCCGTATTCTATATTCTCACTTCATCCATTGAATTAAATATAACTATTACTTAGGGACAGATTCATAGCTACCAAACAGAGCAGTTACCGTATTTTTCTCTCTATTACAAGCAGATTTTTTCTCCTAAAAAGGAAGGGGAAATGTCTGTGCGTGTTATGGAGCGAATGTGGGGGGGGGGCTGGAGCCGATTAGGGGAGCGCAGGAACAAAAATCAGCAAAAATCAATCGTGCGTTGTGTCGGAGAGGGAAACCTGAAAAGAGGAAGTGGTTGCTTTCCTGCATTCTGCCTCAGGGTCTTACTGCCCACCCTCCTCTGTTTCGTTGCTGTGTTTGCTCAAACGGAACAAAGAGCAGGCAAATCCCCTCCCCTCCAGGCAAGCAGAGGGGAAAGCAGAGGTCCTTCCTTCTAATTCCTCTCCGTGCTCCTTGCAGGCAGCCAGAAAACATGCAGGAGGAGAGAGAGAGCTGGCTTCGGTTTCAGGAAACTTTTGCCTTTCTTTCCTCCCTCCCGTTAAATCCCTCTCCTGCTTTCTTAGCCAGCTGCTTCTCTGCACACCGCTCTCTTGTCCCTTCTGTGTTTTTTCCTTCACTCCGCACTTAAAATGTAGGTCTACTTTGCAAGAGCATGGATCACACATGTGTCCTGCAGGATCATTTGCATTGGGCCACCCCAAATTCACCATCAGATCACATAGCAGCCTGCCCCCAAAAATCACACACCACTTGTTGCCTGGGGCTAAATGGTGCAAAAATGTGGTTAAAAAAGCATGGATCCACATGGATCCTCAGGATCTTTGCATTGGGCCACCCCAAATTCACCATCAGATCACATAGCAGCCTGCCCCAAAAATCACACACCCATGCTGGGCGCAAGGTCAAAAACATGGTTAAAGCTGATCCCCTGGATCCAATTTTGATTGGCCACCCAATTCACATCACACCATATGCGTTCCCCCAAATGCCTGGGGCTGCAATGGTGCAAAAATGTGGTTAAAAGCATGGATCCACATGGATCCTCAGGATCCTTTTTGCCATTGAGCTACCCAATTCACCATTCAGATCACATGTCATTGTGGACCACAGCATGAGCACAAAAATGAGACATCACTGTTTCCATTGCAGGAAATTTTTTTCCTTTGTTTTTCCTCCTCTAAAAACGATATGCGTGTTATGGTCAGGTGCGTGTTTATAGAGCGAAAAATACGGTACTTCTTGGTACAGTGATGTTTGGAAAAAAAATGTGCAAAAATCCATAGGATCCCACCAGGTCTTCAGAAGCAGCTATCCCTGCGTCAAAGAAGATTACTCCTAATAGGATTTGCTACTTGGAGGCTGTTGTTCTGTTTGTTGCAAAACCTGCACAGTGTTTACTTCAGGAAGAATATGGATCTCATCTGTCATGCATGTCTTCTTCTGCTGCTGCTTTTCTCTTATGGGACAAACCCAACAATTTCATCTTGTGTCACAGGATGCACCTGTTCGAACGATAACTTTGGAAGGTAAGAAACATTGGTAGGACTATAGAGGAACTTGGGAACAACAAGTAGTGGCTGAATTGTGCCCAATATTGCTAGTATTTTTTTAAAATTCTGTTTAGTTTCAAGTTCATTTTTAGGGCATGATTAGTTTTCTGAAATAGTAAGTCTTTGGATATGATGCTAATAGCTATGTTAATGTACTTTTGTTTGGGTGTTAAAACGAGAAAGATGGAAATGAAGCAAGTGCATTCTTAACAGTGTCATAAAAACAGAAACTTTCACTTTGCTGTCATTCCATGTAATGGATTAAAACCAACTAAGCAATATGTTAACTTTGCTGATTTGCTTTCCAGGAGTTTGCTTTGCATGTCGACATCATTGAGAAAGATCCCTGGGGGCATCCCTGAAGATATAAAAAAAATTAGAATAGAAAATTCTCACCTAACAGAATTGCCTCGTGGGTCATTCTCTAATGTCAGTGCCTTGGAATATCTTTGGCTTAATTTCAATAACATCACGGTCATGCATCTGAAAAGCCTCGAGTACCTGACGGATTTGACTGAGCTGAGATTGCAGGGGAACAAGCTGACTTCAGTACCATGGACAGCGTTCCAAGACACGCCGGCTTTGAAAATACTGGATCTAAAGCACAACAGGCTCGATGTCCTTCCAGAACATGCCCTCCGCTATCTGCCTAGCCTGACCTATTTAGACATCTCTTCCAATCAGCTTACTGTCATCTCCAAGGATGTTTTCTATAACTGGCCTGTGTACCAAAAAACCCAGCAGCTGGAGAAGAAGCTAGATACTATTTCCAACGCAGTCTTGGCTTTGCACGACAACCCATGGATATGTGACTGTCGCCTGCGAGGGTTTGTCCAGTTTATCAAATCTATTAGCCCACCCATCATTCTGATGAATTCTTACTTAACTTGCTCAAGCCCCAAATTCAGAGCAGGAAAGTACTTTCATGAAGTGGAGCTGAATAACTGCATGAAGCCATTGGTATCACCCTCTGAGCCAAATCCCACTGTATATGTTGGGCTGAATGTGACCTTGACCTGTCTGGTGCAGGCCAGCCCTTCCCCAGCAATCTGGTGGACCTATATGTTAAAGCACCTACGAGGATTTAATGGTAAGCATTACTCCAAGGAAAGTTATATTCATTTGCCTCTGAACTTCTAGTCAGGAGCTGACCGCAAACCAGTTAAGCTGAGTTAGCCCACTGGATTCAATGAGACTAAACTGCCTTATTCACTTTTTTTTGCGAATGGGCTGCCACTTACCAAATAGAAAAGGTGGGTGAAACGTGGACAACCATTGTGTGATATTATATGAGTAAAGCCAGTCAGATTCTGCTATTGTTAAAAAATCATGTTGATTTAGGAGGGCTGAAGTATTAGATACCTTCACCACCAGTCCCTTCTCTGCCTATTACGCCCATATTCCACCTTTCCTCCGAGAAGCTCAGGGTAGCATGCATTGTCCCCTCCCTCCATTTTGTTCTTACAACATTTCTGTGACATTAACTGGCAAAGGGATAGCAACTGCACAAGATCACCCAATGAGGTTCATGGTTGAGTGTGGCTTTTATCCTGGGTCTTCTCAGTCCTGTTTGATACAACCAACTGCACCACAATGGCTCCCCTCTATATGAGCAGGAGACTGATGAAACAAGCATAGTTTTGGTTTTAGACGTACAGAAATCTCTCTGTGTCATCAAGAGAAATATGATTTCAGATGGAGCATTATCATTTGATTTCGGTTTTGTATGCCCTGTCTTCAGTTGGCTATATTATTGAAATTTTATCGTTGTTTACTTGTTTCTCTGATTCCATAATATTTTTTTTTGGGGGGGGAGGGTGGAATTAAAACAAAAACAAACATACTATGCCTGGATGGATATCCTGAGCTTCCTGGATGTTCACATTTATTATGACTTGCTTAAAAATACCATCCTTTGGGTATGAAACCCGTACCACGCTGACTTAGGGAAGGAGCATAACTCAGAGGCTGATCACATTCTTTGAATGTAGAAAGTCCCAGATTTAATCCTTGGAAATTCTAAGCTAAAAGGATCAGGTACCCAATGATCCCTGCCTGAGATCTGAGAGAGCCACTTACTAGTAAGACTATAATGGGGTAGATGGGTGAATAGTCAGACCGGATATAAAATAGCACTCTATGTTCCTTAGAGTACATCAAATGATTTTAATTGGACTGCTCCAGTGCCAATGAATTGCTGAAAATAGCTGAATATATCCATCATATGCCATGTGCTCCCTCACATTTTCTTTGAAACATCTTAATGAGATTGCCAAGTCTACTCATATTTCCCTTCTTCCAGACCCCTCCTCACATCCTCAGGGTTGACCCATCACTGGAGTGCCATTTTGTAACAATGACTGCTCTATATCTAGTATGGCTTGCTTCATTAGTAATACTTTGTTTATTAATTAATTTATACATTGGCCATGGTATAGCATCCAATTGAAACAAATTGATTTGTGGGCTTTGAGGATAATCCGGCACAAATTAGCCACAACTGCATTCAGCTAAAATCAAGGGAAGCTAAATTATTTTCTTTTCCCTTCCTTCTTTATCTTTCTCTCCCCCCCTCCCTTTGATTTCTTACCTGTGCTTTCCTCTAATGTCCTGGGATGACTTACATAAGCTAAAAAACAATCACGAAATAGTAAATATAACCCACAAACCATAAAACAACAGCGGCAATGCATGGGATACAACTAATGATACAATTTACAGGGAGGACGATGACAAAATACTTCAGTTACAAAAGGAGAGGTGAAAGATGTAAAGTGTGCCCCTATGGGAGGGAAATTCCGCAGTTTTGAGGACACTTCAGAGAAGGCCCTGTCATGAGTCACCACCCTCACACCACAGAGGGTTTCATTAGTCACAATGAAGCCCCTTTCCATTGTTTTTGATAAGAAATAGTTGTCAGCAATTTTTTGCTGGACTGTGACTCTTCAAAGCATATTTGATCCTGGAGCTTTTCAGACATCCATTTACTGCTTATGCATATCTGAATGGTGTATAAAATGAAGGCAAGAGTTAACAATATCATTTGAATCCCTGCTGCTTGTGCCAACCATGGCTGAAGTTGGCAGAGCAGGGCAGTAAAATGGGTGATTCTTGTTGTCCCACTTCCAGGCTGCCGCAGAAGAGGGTCCTGGGTGGCCCTATTGCTGGTAGCTGCACTGGCTTAGGATACAGCAGATGCTTGGCTGGCATCCTCCTTTCCCACAAAGTGAGCCCATTTGAGGAGTTTATGCTGGCTACCACAGGCGAGCATATAGCCAACCAATTGGTAGCATGTGTTGCCAGCAGAAACAGTAGGGACCTCCCTAGCAGCAAGGGCCCTCAACAGCAAAGCCTTGTAGAGCTGAGTGGAACCAAGCGGAAGGAATCCTTTGCCACATCCTGACCCCCTCCAAGCTATAAACTGGGGGTGAGGATTTGAGGATTGCTACAGCCACGTTAGAATTTTGCAGTCTTACTGTATTGGCTAAATTGCATGCAGCTTTCTTAAACTGATTCCTACAGGGCTGGAATTTTCCTAGGCTGGACTCAGCCTTGAAGTAAATTATTCTAGACAGTTGAAATGAAATTGCTTCAGCTAGTTTCTGAGTGTGTGTGTGTGTGTGTGTGTATATATATATATATATATATATATATATATATATATATCCATTCCCATAGGTCTTAATTGCTTCTTTTGCAGTTCACCTGAATGGTTGTAGCTAGAAACAGTGACCTTGATTTGATTCATAGACCTTATGGAGAGGAAAGGAAAGTCTCAAGAGCACAGTAAAAGAGTTCCATATTATTCTGGCATTTTGGGGTCAGTTGCCAACCAGTATGGATGACTGCTGCTCTGTTAACTTAAAAATCCTGAATGACACTCGACACTTCATAATTTTTGAAGTTAGGGTTTGCCACTGCGTAGCTACCTTCAGTCAAGACCTGCCATGTCACATCTGAGAGTTCTACGATCACTGGATAAATCCATGTTCTTCATAACAAGTGCTCTTGGGCCTCCATGGTGTATGATGATAATGTGCACTAAATAAGTGTAGGGGTATCTGAGGCCTTCTTCATCCTGTGCCCTTCGATGGCACCTTCTCCGCCATCGTCTCATCTCTCGGTAACGAATATGATGAGGTCTAGTGGTGATTGTAGTGAGGGTCCCATCTTGCTCAGGAGGTCCTCAGAGAATAACAGGATCAGAATTCCAGAGTCCACAATCAGGCAAGACTGTTTTGAGGCTAGCCAAAATAAGGAGCAAGTTTCTGGGTTTCCCAGAACTCTTCATCGAAAGCTTGCACACCCTTCTGACATTTTTCATGCCATTGCCCTAATATGGAATTTGCTGCTCTTCTTATGGGCCAACACAGCTGCCTTTCAACATGGGAAGGTTTAGAATTGTCGTTAATATTTTGTCTAGTATGATACCTTTCAAAGATGAGTTTGGAGGTTCTTTTCAGGCAAGAACACCTGAGGTCATTGTGAGAGAAGTGACAAGAAGGGCAGTGAAATTTCTGGGGAAGACTTTCCAAAAAGGCAAACCTTCTGGGAGATTAGTTTGGTCATATTTGCATACTTCCTTTTCCTCCAAAGTAGCATGTGTGGGACTTCCCTGTTTTATCCTTCACATAGTGTGAGGATAAAGTTTCCCACTTGATCCTCACAACAGAAGTCTTTTAGGCTGGGGGTTTTATTTAAAAATAAATAAAAAGAAAACATTTTATTGAGTGTTGTTGGAAGCAGTAACGTGCAAGCCCAACCGTGGGACACAGGTGAGGTAGCATGGAACAGAGAATCTGAAGGATCCATCAACCATGGGAGAAGGGAGAAGGGAAGAATAACTACTTCCACCCATGGGGTTGTATCCACACTCCTGTTACCTGAGCAGAATAGGATCGGCTCATGCAATGGGACTTCCCCTGCCTCGCCTTCCTCTTACAGCCCTCCACATACCCTGAAAATATTCTGCAGAATATTGAAGGGCTATGTGGGGGAAGGAGTGAAAGGGAAATTCCATGAGCAGGTCTACTTGCACAGTGTGGGATTTCACCCATTATCTGCATTTACAGCAAAACAATGGATTTTATGCTGCTAAATTCTACCGAGTAAAATTAATGGACCTACATCAGTTATGTTCACTAATTCTACGGCAGAGCTTTCCAAACTGTGTGTTGCAACACATTTGTCTGTTGGCTGCAGTGAGTGGGTGTCACACAAACGCTCCCTGCACCTCTCCAGGGCCTGGAATGGGGTTAGTTTAACCACCATTTTGCTAGTAAAACTGAATGACTGCGGTGCGAAATGATGCATGTCTAAAAAGTGTGTACCCAACATGAAAAGTTTGGAAAGTTCTGCTCTAATGGGTTACTCTGAGTATGACTTGCATTAAATACAACACTTTTATTATGATGACGGCAACCAGCATCATCATAAGTTATAGGATATGTTGAACCCTAGAGAGATTAAAAAGGAAATGGCTGGCATAAGCAGAGATATAGTAAGTCCTAATCCAATATTGCTGAGGGAACTTCATGAATGAGTATGGACCTGAGCCCAGGTCTCCCCAGTCCAGATTCAGTACTTTAAGTATATCACACCTGCTCTCCTAATTTGGTAAACCATTTAAGGAACGTCAAGCCCTTAATGGCCTCGGCCCAGCATACTTGAAGGAGCGTCTCCACCCCCATCGTTCTGCCCGGACACTGACGTCCAGCTCTGAAGGCCTTCTGGTGGTTCCCTCACTGTGAGAAGTGAGGTTATAGGGAACCAGGCAGAGGGCCTTCTTAGTGGTGGTGCCCACCCTGTGGAACACCCTCCCATCAGATGTCAAGGAAATAAACAACTATCTGATTTTTAGAAGACACCTGAAGGCAACCCTGTTTAGGGATGTTTTTAATGTTTGATGTTTTAACGTGTTTTTAATATTCTGTTGGGAGCCGACCAGAGTGGCTGGGGAAACCCAGCCAGATGGGCAGGGTATAAATAAATAAATAATAATAACTGAAACCGTTGCAATTTTCAAGGAATTTTTGCACATCTCTATGTTGTTCTGAGGCTTGGATCATGCTGTTAAAACATCAGGGGAATGCCGGTACAACTAACATGTGTGTCCTTGTTCTCCTTCCCCCTCCCTAGCATCCACCACCCATATTAGTGAAGACAGAATTAAGTCAGAATTGATTATTCCTTCCGCCCACCTTGTGGATGAAGGCAATTACACGTGCACAGCTGCTAACTTCCTTGGCAACACCTCAGCCACAATGATGCTGAAAGTTCAAGCTCCAAGGGCGGCGGCCTCCTCCTTCTCTTCCTCAGTCTCAGGTGAGAATTCATACATCGATGTGAGGATTGCCAAGCAGACGGTCTATGGGATCACTTTGGAGTGGTACAGCTTGACAGAGAATCCAGGGGAAGCCTGGTATACCCTCCATTTTGGGAAGTATGATGACTCTAAGAAAGACATGATATACATTGGCCCCGGCATCAATAGCTACTCTGTCAACGACCTTCTCCCTGCCACCAAGTATGAAGTGTGTGTTACTTTGAGGAACCAGATGCCTCAAAAGGGGCAGTGCATTGTGTTTGTTACAGGAAGTGACATCAGCGAGCTGGAGCAGCGGGAGAAGCTCATCCATATCATCATCATTGTATGTGCCATGGTGCTCGCAGTCCCTGCTGGGATGTACGCATGTACCACCGAGACCAGGTTTAATTGCATGGAGAAATGTGCCGACTTCTGCCGCCAGAGCAGGAAAGGGCAAAATCTTCGGGGGGTCAATAAAGAGAACACGTTTGACAGTTTACCAACAGGCAGTGAAGAGGGGCTGTGCCACCGAGACTCCAGTGACGACAAGAAAAAGCTGAAGGCTTGCGAGGACAAGGAGAAGGCCAACAAGCAGAAACCCGAGCACAGAAATAGCGCTGATCTCTATTAGCCGATCTCCAAGCACAATCCCATGTTAGATAAGAGAAAGGTAAATATAGAAAGACTGGTGGAAATATCTCACACATGTGGACAGTAGGTTTTCATGATACATCAGTGTCAACAGGTGACAAACATACACAACAGAACTTCTGAGGCCACCAAAAACCTACAGTGGTTGAAGTTGTTGGAAGGCAAGAGAGGAACGCGCAGGGTCACCATTTTAGCAGGAACGCTATGCCTCTGTCAGCCTTCTAGCTGTGATTTATGGTTAACAATGCAGGGGATGGATGGAATTGCATTGCTTGTTGAACGAGCATAGAGTATGATCTATCAATATACAACCAGAGGGTTTTTCTAGAGGCATATCTGTAATTTAGATTACTGAATTGTTTTAGGACATCCCCACACCTTTCCTTCCCATTGTAGCTGCTGGTGATGGTTTTTTTAAATAAATAAATAAATAAATAAATAAATAAATAAATAAAAATAAATAAGGCAAGTTCAGAAATAGGACCTTAGCAACAGCACTGGTCAGACCAGGAGAGTTTGTCCAATTGCATTTAAAAGGTGCAAAAGGTGGTGGAGATTTCTGATTCAGATTAAGAACTCTTCTGCACAAGAATAACTCAGAAAGACTGAAGCTGTTAAAGAAATAGAAACAAAATGGTTTTCTTAAAATACACTGTTTGTTTGTTCGTTTTAAAATCACGCCAGTCCAAATCCAGCTTCAGTTGTGTGTAATGACTATTGGTTTCAGAAGTAAACATGCATCTCTACCAGCATGAAAAAAACATTAAAGAGCATTTAAAGCACATCCATAACAGCGTTTTCCCTTAACTGAGCTACAGTTCCTAACACAATACAGTTATCATGCTTGTTTGGGGCAGGGATCTGCTTTCAATGTCTGGTATGTATGCAGCTTTGGTTAGATCCAGCAGCCTCCTCCTAGGTTCTTGTAGATCTCTCTTACTGGTCAAAGTCAGCCATAACTTTAGATTTAACTTTATTGTCGCCTTCTAGTGAGCTGGCAGCAGTAATTTTTATCAGCAGCACAAAAAGTTAGTGGTGTCTTAGTTAATGGTGAAATTATATAACAGAGCTTATCGTACAGAAACCCTATTTGCTGCTAAAATGTAGTGATACTTAAAAGTACAACCAGCCACACAAGGTACACACTGATCACAACAAGGATTCTTAGTTGTCTCCACAGACCAAAATCCAATGTCCACAGAGAAAACATGCCAGTTTCAGGTTTCCCTCCCCTGGTAGTGGGGGGGGGGGAAGGGAAGACTGGGTGGGGGGAGAATCTTTAAACAGGCAAATAATATGTGGGGAAAGGATAAAGCACATCTCTCCCTAGGGATGAGTGAATTTGTCAATTTTGGTTCTCTCAGCTTCTCATTTTCCCAACTGATACTCAGTTCTCCGCATTTTGCAGCAGTGCAGATTAAAAAAAATCTCATGAAAATTGTCATTTTAATGTGAATTTCTCCTTTAAAAAGTACGTTTTTAATACGCAGTGTTGACTAATGTCAAGCTTTGCAAGCGATTCCCCCCCAAAAGAACACCTTTTTGTACGCTATTTTCACCAGTATCTTCATTCTTGTGCCCACTTTCCCCTAATACAGTGGTACCTTGGGTTAAGAACTTAATTCGTTCCAGAGGTCTGTTCTTAACCTGAAATTGTTCTTAACCTGAAGCACCACTTTAGCTAATGGGGCCTCCCGCTGCCGTTGGGCTGCCGGATCACGATTTCTGTTCTCATCCTGAAGCAAAGTTCTTAACCTGAGGTACTATTTCTGGGTTAGCGGAGTCTGTAACCTGAAACATATGTAACCTGAGGTACCACTGTAGATACATTTTTGTAGACACTGGCTGGAGAACTGCATCGCAAAATTCAGCTAAGTGCGAATTTTGAAGGCAGGTTGTGTTTGGTTTTGCTTATTGCTCCTGAATGTGCAGTTTTGGTAGATTCAGCTTTAAACGCACAATTAATTGGGTTACTCCTCCATCCCTACTGATCAATTTCACACACACATTGCATTAAAAAAAAGGGGGGGGATGAACTTCTCAGATCTTCCATGCCACATCTGATTTTGCCATTAGAAATAATCCAACAATACTTTATTCACCAAATGTAAAATAATTGGTAATAGGACACGAGGGGGGAAATGCAATCCATTTTCAGCAAAACTTACTCGTCTCCTTTTTGCAAAGGACACCCAAGGCACTTTACATTAGAAGAAGTTAAAATACAAAATAGAAATTTGCCCCCATCAGTAAATGATCATTATGTTTATTGAAGCCATTCTTTTTTAAATGTGTGAAATTCCCCCCTCCTGAAAAAGTTATATAAACACAGTTGCATATCTGCATGCAGAAAAACTCTGTTATCTACCTGTCTGTCTTTATGTATGCACGTGGCAATTTTGCCCCAGAGTCTGAAACTTTCATCAATATTTTTTAACTGGGCTCTTAAGAGATGATGTAGAAACAGTGCTATTTTTTTAAAAAAATAATTATTATTATTGAAGTTTACTCTTCAAAAGAGTTCAGCATATTTAGTTCAATCTCCCACAGCAACTCTATGAGGTAGGTTAAATTGAGTGGTCCAGTGACACTTAATGATGCTGACAACCAAGCAGAGATTTGGCCACAGGTCCCCACTGTTCCCTATGCCATGTTCAATGTTCATAAGCTCAGCAAAGTTTTATATTCCAGAGCTTCCAGAGCAGACATGTCCAACTGGTCAATCGCGAGGGGCGTCCCTGGTCTATGCTGGTCGATCGTGTGTTCCTGATTGCTCCAAAAAAAGCTCAACAACTTTGGCTAATCCAATGGTTAATCCATTATATATATATATATTGGGAGTAGATTGCAGTCGAGAGCCAGCATGGTGTAGTGGTTAAGAGCGTTGATTCGTAATCTGGTGAACCGGGTTCGATTCCCCGCTTCTCCACATGCAGCTGCTGGGTGACTTTGGGCTAGTCACACTTCTTTGAAGTCTCTCAGCCCCACTCACCTCACAGAGTGTTTGTTGTGGGGGAGGAAGGGAAAGGAGAATGTTAGCCGCTTTGAGACTCCTTAAAGGGAGTGAAAAGCGGGATATCAAATCCAAACTCTTCTTCTTCTTCTTCAGTCTCTTGGGAGTTGGACATGCCTATTTTCGAGCAACTAATTTACAGGATTTCCTTGCTCCTCTAACAAAGACCATTTCAACACATTATTATCCCGATCCTTAGATATGACTGTGTTATCTTTTTGATATTGAAAGTATGTGCAATAGAAAGAAGTTGCTGTTAGCTGAAAACACACGTCTTGAAATAAAAGAAATGGTTTTTCCAAATGCTCTGGCGTTTCTTCTCTGTTGTGACACCATTTTGCACATATACATGTGGAGGTTGATGGGGAGCAGGCATGTGGGAAGGAGACACACCCCAGCAAAAATGCAAGGCTTCAAACATTAATGCTTCAAATGATTCAGGTGATCATATTGGTGACCAGCTATTAGGAAGAGTGAACAATTCGGGGAGTTCAGTGACCTCATTAAATAGATTAAAAAAAAGTGGGATGGGAGAGGAAGGAAATGAGCCAGGTTTTAATTTGACATCTCAAGCATCCTCTGCAAAGTGAAGTGTTCTGAGCATGAAGCACCTTTTGAACAATGTAATCCCGCTTGACAATTCTATGCCATTAGCTCATGAGAAGATGGTACAAATGGGGAAATGGAGTGGTCGAGATAAGAGTGCATAGATCTCAGGCCTGCCGATAAAGTTTTGACTTTTAAAAAACTTGTAGCGCAATGGAAGTTGAATTGATCATGGCTCAGAACAGCGCCGGATTTATGTATAAGCTAAACAAGCTATAGCTTAAGGCCCCACTCTCTTGGGGCCCCCACAAAAAAATTAAAGGAAAAAAAACCTGGATGTAGATTTCCAAAATATAAGATAAAAAACAAATAAAATAAAACCTACATACAGCAACAGTGTTTTGTGTAGGCTCCTGTGATGTAAGTAATGGGCCCCGCCTGCTAGCCTGCTCCCTAAAATATCACTGGTTTGCTCATTTCTATATACAGTGGTACCTCTGGTTACATACTTAACTTGTTCCGGAGGTCTGTTCTTAACCTGAAACTGTTCTTAACCTGAAGCACCACTTTAGCTAATAGGGCCTCCCACTGCTGCCGCACCGCCGCCACGCGATTTCTGTTCTTATCCTGAAGCAAAGTTCTTAACCCGAAGTATTACTTCTGGGTTAGAGGAGTCTGTAACCTGAAGCATATGTAACCCGAGGTACCACTGCATAGGGTGCCTACATTCTGCATGGGCAACATGTGCAAATGGCTTTATATGCAAATAGCATATGTGCAACACAAAAAACAGCAACAACTTGTTGTTGACAAAGGACAGCGGGACATATAAAGGGCACCATTACCTTCAGTAGCTTAGGGCCTCATCAAACCTAAATCCGGCCCTGGCTGAGAACCAGATTCGGTAGCGTTCCTAAAGGTAAGAGGGTGCTGTTTAAGTGCAATGAAAAACTACCTGTCCTTATCCATAACTTCTGCTTCTACTCCTTGCCTTTGAAAACCCTACAGTCTCTCACTGTGATCCCCTTTCTCTGCCAATTGCTTCAAAAGGGTGAATCTTAACAACAAAATTGTTTCAAAACTTTTGTTGTGGTTGCATGCATACACCTGTGGAATGTGCGAGTTGTATTTTTGCCTTGGCAGTGAAATCCTGCTAGTGGGCTTCACAGGGACATCTGATTGGCTACCATAATAACCGGATCCTGGAGTAGATACTGGGGGCGCAGGTGGCGCTGTGATCTAAACCACTGAGCCTCTTGGGTTTACCGATCAGAAGGTTGGTGGTTTGAATCCTCATGATGGGGTGAGCTCCTGTTGCTCTGTCCCAGCTTCTGCCAACCTAGCAGTTCAAAAGCATGCCAGTTTAAGTAGATAAATAGGTACCACTGCGGTGGAAGGTAAATGGTGTTTCTGTGTGCTGTGGTTTCTGTCACACCAGAAGTGGTTTAGACATGCTGGCCACATGACCCGGAAAGTTGTCTGTGGACAAACACTGGCTCCCTCAGCCTGAAAGTGAGATGAGCACCACAACCCCTTAGTTGCCTTTGATTGAACATAACCGTACAGGGGTCCTTTGCCTTACCTTTTACCTTTATCTGTGCTATGAATAGGAGAGCAAACTGTATGGAAGTCATTTTGGAGAATGCACTCAGAGATCGCTGCCAGCCACCTTCAGTGATGCACTGGTGAAGGGATTGAGCTTGATGTGAAAGTACATGTTTGCTTTTAGTCTGTGAGCTCTGGTTTCCATCACGGTGTTCCATTGTGCCAGAAGCGGTTTAGTCATGCTGGCCACATGACCTGGATAGCTGTCTGTGGACAAACACCGGCTCCCTCGGCCTGAAGCGAGATGAGCACTTCAACCCCATAGTCACCTTTGACTGGACTTAACTGTCCAGGGATCTTTTACCTTTACCTTGCTGGAGTAGATGGTACATTGGCCTGACCCAGCAGGATCTTCTTATACCCTTACAAATCAGATATTAGGTAAAAGTACATACCAACTTAGTGTACTAGGATAAATACTCACTGACGTTTTCATGAGGCCTTTTTTTTATTTAAAAAAACGCAAACAGATATGGAAATGTGGATAACTGGACTTAAGGTCGGAAAAATGAGAATCTGAGAGAAGCCAAAATCGATGGATTCACCCATCCCTAATTGTGACCTCGGGGCCCTAAAAGCATTGGAGGCCAAGATATCTTCGCCAGTGGCAGGGTTGTGAGAACAGGATCTCACCTATTGATTTGCAGCAACTGGGAAATTTTGGGGCTGGAGGCTTCCAGCAGAATCTGGGCCAGATCTAGGCACATAAAAAAATTTTTTTTTTCAGGAAAATGCGTATTAAACCTCATGATGCGAAATCACGTTGCCAAAAGATGGAACTCCACAGCGCCATCTGGTGTAAGTGTTATCATGCATTTTAAATGCTTTTTCTTTACTAATGTAGCCGAGTCCCTGGATTGACTTCCTGTATGGAGCACTTGCAATGCTGAATATGAAGAACTGAGAGGGGTAACAATGGTCAGAACATCAAAATAAGGCAACAAATGCATTTTTCAAGTTTTTATTAACAAAAACATTTGGAACGCAGTTCACGTAGTACAGAACAACTGCATTCGGTTTGGGGGTGGGGAGTTGCACGATGTAAAAGAAAAATTACGTTGAAATCTATTAAGTCTAATATTATAAGTCTTTTCTTGAACATGATGCTGAGGGTTGCCACCTTTTCAGCTACCAAAGGATGGGGCAATACAGATGTTTTTCACGTAGGTGGGCAGTAGCTGCTCTGGACTCCTTTACGGGGGGGGGGAGAAGAATTATTCTTTGCTGCCCATTCTATCAGTGCAATCGGGCCCTTTGACTGCTTTGTGAAGGTGCAGCACACTTCTGCTGGGGAGAGGGGAGGAGCTGCAGGAGAAATTTAATCCTGCTACACCTTTCCTCCCGTCTCGTTCTAATTCCAACATTCTATTGCTAAAACCTAGTAAAATCTTGCGGTACCTTAAACACATTTTATGGCAGCATCTTTAGCATAATCAAACGTGCTGGTCTTTAAGGTTCCACAGGGCTGTTTGTTAGTTAGCTACAGACTAACACAAATCACCCCCGCCCCCCCCCTAAAACCTGGCAAAATGCACAAGATTCATTTTGTGGTTCCGTCATTCCCCCCCCTCAAACGCATCATTTAAAAATAAAAGGTAGAACTGATTCAAGTTTGTTTGTGCACAAAATGTTGATTCCATAAAAAGTATATCTGCAATAGGTTTTTTACATATAATATGAACAGATATATTTCAAAAATATGAACAATCCATACAGATTACAAATGGATGGCAGCCCTAGAGTTTTTTTTGACCTTCGTCGCATTGTACAATAAAACACTATGTTAAGAAAATAGCAATGCAGATGATTCTTGGAAGCTTTTGGTACCTCAAAGAGAATTTGTTTAAGTAGGTTCAGAAACAAAAGGAAAGATGTTGCATGATTTACAAATAATCCCATGATTTGGATGTGCCTCTCTGGGTGTAATATAAGAAATGTGTCTCTTTTTAAAGCTATTTATGACACATATACTCAGCTCTTCATCTGAAGAGCTCCAAGCAGCTCACATATAGTTCCTGGGAGGACTTCCTTCCAAGCCATTACATGGCCAGACCTGATCAACAATAGGACTCTTTCATGTGCCTTCAAGCTATTATCTTCTCCTGTGACTATTCATGGAGATGTCATGTGGGGGATTCGCTCGGGAGTGAAATTTACCAAATTGAACAGAGGGACATTGTTAATCTGGTTCGGGGTAGCCAATGTTGCACCCTCTAGATTTTGCAGGGCTACAAGTCCCAACACCACTGGCTATTCTTATTATTTATTATATTTGTCAGTTGGTTTTCTTGCAAAGCAAATGAAAACAATAAAAAACGAAAAATACAGCAACACAGGCTAAAACATAGCTAAACGAAAAGGCAGGGATACAAGTCCCCCCCCCCGCCCGCAATGCCACCCTTCAGATCAAGGGCCCAAAACAGAGGAATGGAGAAAGCAAAGGGGGTGCCACTGAAAAGGCCCATTCTTGCATTGTCACCCTCTAAATCTCCCATGGAGGTGGCACACAAAGAAGGGTCATGCTGGCTAGGACTGATGGGATTTGGAGCCCAATAATATAGAGGGGGGAATGGAACTGTGTTGGTAACCCCATGTCTGGTTGAACCAGCCTTTGCCTCCTTCACCATGAAGTCACCATGAATTGCTTTGATGGCAACTCTTGCTTAGAACTAGTAAGGAATCAAGTTAGGGCGACCAGCAAACCAGTCTAGATATGATGCAGATAGAGTTAGGCTTCCCCCAGCTTCAACATTGTGGCTATTAGAGCCAGGGGAAGGTCAGGCTATCTGGACAGGTCTGTCTGTGTCACAGCTCACCTGTGGACCAGTCACAATGGGTGAAATGGAGGAGGTTTCAGGAAGAAAACACACACAACCCCCTCCTATATTCCTTGGTTGGCGGGATGAAAGCCTTACATCATGTTTATAAGGGTATGGCACTACCATTCCACATGATACAATTTTAAGGGCTGTTGCTACATTCCTTCAAATGGCCTCAGCTCAGAAGTTTACCTAAATTGTGCTGCATCTCAAAATGATGCAGGGCTGAAAGCGATTTCTTCTTTCTCCTGTTCACGCCTTTTCTTTGCCCAGCTCCACTCCAAGGCAAACACTTCTGATACCATGTTTCTCGTTTAACTGCCTCGTTTGTAGTAATTTAACACCAGGGGAATGTTCAGGTTGTCCCTCTGCAGCACCTTAACTTCAAATTCCCATAAACACTGGCATTTTAAACATTCAGTGGTTAGGATGCTCGTAAAGCAGTAAAGCACTGTTTTGCAGCAATGTAGGGAGCAATTTTGCCTTTTATAGAGAAAGAACTCTTGGTTTTTCCACTCCTCCATAAAAGGTTTTACGTCACTGGTCTGTTGCGATGAGGCATATCACATAGAGACGAGTCGACTCTCAATAATACTGAATGTTATGAAAACATCCCTGTTTTCAGTATAACTCATCGGCTTGCTTTATGGACAGAAGTGGCTCAGATCTCTACGTCTTATAAATTTTTGTCCACCTATCCTTACTTGTCATTCAATGCATGTGCCCCAATACTGTTCATGTTACCTGTGATTAGGGATGACATGAATATCCCCTGACTGCACACCTGTGAGCAGAATCAGGGTAAACACAACTCTCCTTGCTGTCTGTGTTCATTTCAGTCCTGAGAACTGCCTCCTCCCTCACCTTCCCAAAGGTGAAAAAACTGGATTGCAACTAGAAATACCACAATCCTTGCTGGGAAAATGATGCTATTGGCTGTCACCTTCCTGCCATGATCACTCACCTCCTTCCTTTCTCATTCAAGAGATTTTCTTGGACAGGTTAGGGCAAATTGCATCATTCACACCACACATTGGGACATGTTAATCTGTATGCTTGATGCCTATATGATTGGGAATGCTGTCAAATTCCGGCCCAAGTAAAGCCCGAGTTATGGCTGGGGCAGAACAATTTAAAAGGTCAATCAACATCTGAGCTGGACCCTGGAGCTACTGAATTTCAGCGAGTGGCATGCTAGGAGATGGGGCAGCTTGTTAAGCTTACTTGGCTATTCCTTGAGGACTCTGGCGTGAGATATTTTAAAACATTCAATATTTCAAGCTGAACTTTAAAACAGATCACCGGAAAGCATTGGCCAGATACAGAACAAATTGGCATCCTGAAAATTGCAGCACACAAACACGCAAGCAGACTTTGCAGCGGGAACCTGTATAAAAACATTGTAACAAATGTGCACCACGTATTACCATAAAGTTATAGGTGAAACAATTGCACCGGGCGAGAGGATATGTACCGGCATGCGATCCGGGCGAATGGATGTGAAACACCGAGAAGAGATAATGAGCGTTTTCAGCTTGCAGGGAGATGGGGAATTGGTACAAAATGCAAAATAAGAAAATCACACCATGTACCTGGAATGGCACACAGAAGACACACTCCACATGCAAGCTGTGGGGAGGAGACACTAAATGTGAGGGCTTGCCGCATTTCTCATTTCAAACCTCTGCTTGAGCTCCGACACCAGGGCATTGTGGGATGTGCAGACCGCGGCACCTTTCTTCTTTTTAATAAGCTTCGGACTCAGCGATCCGGATACTGTGGGGACCCTCCATTCAGAGACATTAGTCTTGAGTGCCGGGGCTGGAGGTAGGGCTGGGGCAGCAGGTGGTGGAGGAGGAAGGGGCACCTGGAAGTTGTTGTTGCTGTTCTCATTTTGCAGACTTTTGGTATCCTCTTCGACGACAAACTTCTCCGCAGCGTTGCTGGACCTCTTGAATTTCAGCCACTCCATTCTGATCATCCTGGTTGGTTGGTGGTTTTGCCTTTTTTTAATGATCCGTCTCACGGGCATGATTTTGTTGGACCTCTTATTGCGCCAGAACATGGCGGTGGAGATTAAGATGGTGATCGCCACCATCACCCCCATGACACCAGCTAGCACTCCTAAGGCTTTCATGGGGTTATCTTTTGTTTGCATCAAAAAGGCAGCCATAGGCCCTTTGTGAAGAGTCTGTAAAAGAGTACAAAGAGAACATGGTGACTTAACTCTGGGGCATAGAGAGAGAGAGACTGCGCTTTCATTTGTCCAAAATATGTGATCCACACCACCAAGCCACCTCCAATTTAGCATCCAAAATTCAGATTTAACACTAAGAAGGCCAACTGCAGCAATTAAATAGTGGAGCCTTTCACTCAGGATGCGGGGAGTTTTGCATCATTCCTATGCAATACTCTATTGTCCGTCGGTTGCAAGTGGAAACAAAACCACTGGGTTGTGCAGTCAAGGACATACCCATACAACAAACTGGTGACAACAGTCATTCCCTAGTCTCCGAGGAACCCTGGAAATTGTAGTCCTGTTAGAATGGACACCAGGGATCCCTAACCAGGCAGAGGGCCTTCTTGGTAGTGGCACCTGCTCTGTGGAATGCTCTCTAATCAGATGTCAATGAAATAAACAACTATCTGACTTTTAGAAGACATCTGAAGGCAGCCCTGTTTAAGGAAGTTTTTAATGTTTGATGTTTTATGTTGTTTTTAATATTCTGTTGGGAGTCTCCCAGAATGGTTGGGGAAACCCAGCCAGATGGGTGGGATATAAATAAATAAATAAATTATTATTATCATGAACACCCATAAACCAAAATGTCTCTGATTCTTTGGGGGAAAGCTGTCACAGTTAAAACTGGTATCAAACTGAGATAAACTCAGTATATATCCATAACTGGAAGGTGTTCCTTATGCTTTAGATTTCATTTCAGAATCTCCCAGAATCAAACAAATGCTTTCAGAGAAAATACTAGTAATAAGATTTTCTCATCCTATTGATGCATCTTCAACTGAAAACATTTTGAGGCTGTCAAATCGGTTCTTAAACAGCCGAAAGTGAGCATGTTCTAGTACTCTTTTACAGACATTACAAAAACAAAACAAACCACTCCAATGCTATGAGGTAATGAATCTGAGATGAAGAGACAGGCTGCTTGTTTCCCTTTTAAAGAATCCAAAGCTTGATTAAGAGGTAATGCAGCCTCTCAATATGGCATATTGAGGACAAATGAATGAAAAGTTCGTATAGCATTTTAGCACACAGAGCGCTGTGGTAGTCGCCGTTTAATTTTCCTGATTTTCCCCTGAGGATGGAGTCTGGATCTTTTCACACTTTTCCAGTACATGATGGTGGAGATCACCATGGTAACAGAAATGGCAGAAAGGACGCCACTCGTGCAAATCCCAAATAATGTCCATGGACGTTTCTTGAGGCCTAAAATATAGGATCTTACCCTTGATTTGATCTGAAAATGTCAAAAATAAGAAAACCAATCAACCTGTGGACCACCGTCATAAAGGAAACATTGGATGCTTTGGTTGAATCCAATGTAGTGCAAAGTACCTCATTCGGTCAGTGCAAGGATGTCTGCTTGTGGGACACAACTTTCTCCTCCCTCCCTAAATCTGTTCTGGGATTCCTCCCAAGCCCCTGCAACATATTTGGGGAGGGTGTGGGGTGAACACAGCCAGAAGAAAGGGTAGAGAGTTCTGTTGTGCAAGTGGAAATCCCCGCACTGCCAAAATACATTGGCAAGTAACTGAAGCAGATAATTTAATTAGACAGTGCCTATATGATATCGAGCAACAGAACAAACTGGCCACCATAAGGAAATTTTGTCCATTGTATGATTATTTCCCACCTAGTCGTTTTGACACTTTGGCACCCTATTTGCAAAATTTAACAATTCCAAAATATGCAGATGCACTTTTACTTATGCAAGATTAAATATACTGCCTACAGCTGTGCTTGAGGGTCGATTTCAAAAAAATCTGCGGGGGAAAAGGGCTATGTCCATGTGGAGAGGGCAGTATTGAATCAGTAGCTCATGTGCTTCTAGCTTGCATTCTGTATAAAGATTTGAGGAGTGAGGTTATTACCCCTCTACTACTATCCCTAGCAGAATAAAAAAATTCCTTCCAGTAGCACCTTAGAGACCAACTAAGTTTGTTATTGGTATGAGCTTTCGTGTGCATGCACACTTCTTCAGATACACTTCAGATCCCTACCAGGTCGCTCAACCATTGCTACTGTGTGCTTTCTTTTAGCAGATCATGATAACCAGGTGACAGCAAAAAATGCAATAAATAAATAAATCAGTAGGGGCAACTAGAATAAGATGTATTATTTGATTCTTGATGTAAACCTCCAGAATGTATTTTGTATAGTTAAGTTTTTACCTCTATCTTCAGTACATTTTATTTTATTTTACTGCTATGGCTAGTAGCTGATGCAAAAAAAGATTCTTCTGAATATATTGGTTGGAGACCATCATAGGCCCCTCCCCACTTTAAAACATAGCAGGGCTAAGAAGCCACTTGCTGTACCAAGACATTAACAAAAAGCGATTGGGCGGGGGGATGCAACTACTAAATATTTTTGAGCCCTTCCTCCTCTAATACATGATGCTGGGACAAAACACAATAATAAAATTAAAACACCAAACAAACAAACAACAACAACAACAACAACAACAACAACAACAACAACAACACACAACTCAGTGTAAACACAGGCAAAAGAATAACATCACAAAATTGGTGGTTAAAAGACCAATTTTAGAAGCTAAAAAAAACCCTACCCAGGTAACACGGATAAATGAGTGCCTGTAATTGCACATAACAGTAAGAGAAACAGCAAGTCTTGAAGACTGGAGAATGGAAACATGCAACCATAGGAGATGTTTATAAGTCATTATTACTGTAACCATGCAGTTACATATGTGCATGTATAAACACCTTCAGAACGAGACTGGCTTAGTTGTACGGTACCTATATCTAATCATGAAGCAGGTGTTCTTCATCTGAGACCAGGGACTGGAGCCTGAGCTGCAGAAGCAGGCAGAAGATACTGCTCTCTTGAACTGGCAAAGGTAGATATCCAAGCTCCCATTATCTAGCTTGGACTTGGCCAACTTTTCCTCCTGACTGTCCATTGTAGGAGACTGCAATCTCCTCACAGGATTGTGAAGCAGCAGATTGCCAAATCCTGAGACACCATTCGTTTCCAGTTTGGCACCCAGTGCTTTCTGCCTCCTTTCTTGCTTCCTGCCAGCTGCCTTGATGGCGACAGCACAGTTACAACCCAGAGGTAATGTTGCGCAGAATTCCAGCCTCGGAGACTGACTACACTGCAGCCCAGGTCAATGGGAAGATTCTTCTACTGATTTGAATGGTACAGAATCTCGTCTTCCGAGAATTTGTGGAGCAAGCCACAATCAATGCATGTTCTCTTTAGCTGCCTGAATAAGATTATCTGTTACACACTTGACTTGGCAATGAGCGTGCCAGAGAAAAACATATTCATCGCATGAGGCACACTTAATCTGAGTCCCATCTCCTCAGTGTCCCTGTGTGTCGTCACGACACATCCTGAGTCTGCTTATGTCAAATGCAAAGGAGATGAGGCTGTTAATAAAACACTCAGGTGAGTATTCAGTGCTACCTGATTTCTCATACGAAAGCTTCCTGCTGCATGCCGTGCTCATTTCCCACATGGCACTAGGATGCTACTGCAATGATATGTATCGGGGCTGGAGCATCCAGAAAATCGTGGAGCTGCTAGGCTGCTAATTGGGCTCAGCCATCGTGAACATATTTTGCCATTGCTTAAAGAGCTGCCCTGGCTCCTGGTTCATTTCTGAGAGCAATATAAAGTGTTGGTGCTCCCTGTTAAAGCTATATATGGCTTGGGATCTGGAAACAGCTCACATAGCTGCCTGCTCTATACAGTGGTACCTCGGGTTACATACGCTTCAGGTTACATCTGCTTCAGGTTACATCTGCTTCAGGTTACAGACTCCGCTAACCCAGAAATAGTGCTACAGGTTAAGAACTTTGCTTCAGGATAAGTACAGAAATCGTGCTCCGGCGGTGTGGTGGCAGCAGGAGGCCCCATTAGCTAAAGTGGTGCTTCAGGTTAAGAACAGTTTCAGGTTAAGAACAGACCTCCAGAACGAATTAAGTACTTAACCCGAGGTACCACTGTATTCACCTGCCTGTGCACCAAGTTCATCTTTGGATGTCCTCCCCCAGGTACTCCACCATTTGATGCAAGGCATGTGGCAACTGGGAAGAAGGACTTTTCCAGAAGACTAAGCAGGCAGAGCCAGGCTGCCTCCCAAGCCTACACAAGTGTAACATGTAGCTCGTCTCTGAATGAACCTTGTTCTTATCCATTTATGTTCATGGCAGAGGGTTAGGTAGCCACCCCTTCTAATCTTGTGGACTATAGACAAACTTTCACAAAACTATTGGTGTGCTCTGTCACTGCAATGATCAGTCTTTCCATTCCAGGTCAGGGGAATCTAGGACTACGTATTCTGTCATAAAAAAAAATACCTGTAATCAAGAATAGGGGGAAGCAAACAGCATATGCACTTCAGCACTTTTTCCCTAGTGGGTATGAAAGAAAGCATTGGCTTATAATCAATATCCCCCCCTTTTTTTTGTAAAAATAGGATCCGTTAAATTAAATAGTCTTGGGATTTTTTTTTCCCATCGCTGCATTGTTTCAAGAGCAAAAGGTTTTTTTGATGCATGAAACCACCAAACCTAGCCGCAGGGCATTCATCTTGAAGGGAGCATTGTTCTGGCATTGTTCTGCTAATTGTGATGGTAAATGTTAATCAAAAATAGGCCTGTTTAATTACTCATTGTGATTAACACTGCTGGACACCTCTAGTTGTGTTGTCAAAAAAGCTTTTCCTTCAGAAAGGAAAACAGAGCACTGTTCTGCGGGATGAAGAATGCCGGGTCAGACACAATGGAAGAGGAACAGATGCATTCAAGTACATCCTGGGGCACAGTGTACAAAGAGAATGCCTTATTTGCATGCCACTAGCTTCGATCCTGCCATCTCCAGTTGGAAATGATTCCCAGTGTAGTATATGCTAACCCTTTTCCTCCTGTAAAAAGGTCACAAAGAGGGAGAGCACAGTCTCAGAGATGGATTCATGTACCATGCAAGCTTAGAGTTCATCCACACTTCTGCTTGCTATCGAATTGGAGCAAACATCAGTCAGGTTTTCTCCAGATTGACATTTGCTCCAATTTAGTGCAGAAGTGTGGGTTTCCTGGGGGAAAGCAGTGAGGAAAAGGCCAAACTGCTCGTGGGAGAAGTGGAAATGTGGATAAGACCTATTTACAGGGGCTAAGCACCGTTGCAATGAAGGCACAAAGAGGACAAACAGTCACAGGCTCTACTATAAAGAGACCAAGATATGAAAGCAAGGAACTAAGCTATTGCAGAGGAAATTACAGACAGCATAGCAAAGACCGGGGAGTTTCAGGTGGACACTTGTAAATTATAAGGTTTCGGGATAATAAAGCTAGATATGGCTGAGGAGGTGGCATTTCAAATCTCTTCACCACCAATTTGCAATGCTTATTCAAGGGAAATAAATATTCTAGAACAGATGGGTGGCATTCTGTTTGCTGATATTAATTGGCATTAGATCGCTGCATGTCCAGGTTGCCCCTGCCACATCTATGTGGTCTGCAGGGTATAAGGGAAATGGCAGTTTAACGTATCCTCTGTATATGTGAAGCAGATTGACAAGTCTGTCACACACCCCGCATTGGACCCACCATCGCAACCATTCTGAAAATATTGTTTGGGAAGTTAAATGTAGTAATAAAGGAGGAGTTATTCTTCTAATGAACCATCTGGAGAATGGTTGGTAAAATCAAGGGTGAGTTAAGATACAAAGTTAAAAGAAGGACAGATTAGGCGTGGACCTTTAAGACCGTTGTGGTGGGCCTTCATAAATTTCTCCTTCTCCATTTTCAGTATAGGGAAAGCAATCGTAACTTCTATTTGATAGCAATGAGGCTGAACAATGCAACAGAGCGGTCAGGGATGGACCCATTGCCAGCAGCTGAAATGGGTTAGGATCTACTTGATCCTTCGGCAGACTCTACGCTTCCTTGACCCAGAGATGCCAGAAATTCTCATTTCACAGCTGACAGCACTCCCTTACTTCAATTTAACTTCAACGACTCAAATTATGATGCTTCTGCAGCAGTGCCCATTACAAATCACTGTTTCTCAGCCACAAATCTTAGGTCTCCCTGTTTGCCATTTCTCTCCAGTATCCTATCCCCTTACCTCTTCTGTGATATCAATCTTCAGGACAGCGGTGGTGCTAAATGAAGGAGAGCCCCGATCTTTGGCTTGAACTACCACCGACCATATGCAGTCTTTGTTGTTGGTGATGTTGTGAATTATGTCCAAGGATCTTATGTAGGATTTCAGTTTTATTTCTCCGGTGCTTTGGTCTATATCAAACACATTGGCAGGATCTGCTTGCATAATAGAATAGTCAACTATGTTATTGGGTTCTTCCGCATCTTGGTCTATTGCCTGTTGGGGATGGGGAGAAAAAGTGAAAGAGAAATGTTTATTGAATGGCAATCTATTTTAAAGAGGACCGGTTCTTTTGGATTCTGAAGTTCCATACTTTGAGCATGGCTTCTGTACCAGAACTTTGTGGGGTGGGGTTTGGTTGGATTCCGGAGTAGTTTAAAAATCTATCTTGTACCAGTCTTCCATTTTATATTCTGCTTGCTATAGAGAGGTGTGGGATACAGCTATTAATGATAAATTGACATGTGCCATTAAGGCAAGGCAGGGAATATGCAGGAGAAATGATTCTGAGGACATATCGAGAATGTTTGTAGAATTTGTACTGTTAAAACGGAAAGGAGTCAAACCATCGCAAGAGGTGTTGAAATTTTGGGAGGCCGGATAGTTGCGATGTGGGGTGCACATTTTTATTCTTATTTATTTATGATTATCAATTTGTTTAAAAATTGAAACAAAAAAATCTATCTTGGAGAAAATTGAAATGCTAGGAATTTGAAGGAACAGTTCCCCCCTTGGAAAAAAAAACCATTGGAAAATTCAGATCTCCTACCAATTATCCCCTTCCCCCTTTTCATTTGAAAAACTCTGTAATGGTTTTTTTTTTTTTTTTTTTTTTACAAAAATAAAACCAATGTATGTTTAATTTTCTGATTTGAAGTTAATGGCCATTGTGCAGAATTCTGCCCGCTGCATCTGAAATCAGCATTTCCCATCAGAAAAACAGTAGGGGGTTGGAATTCTAGAACAATTCCGGAATGGAACTGCTCCATCCTGCTCGACCTATTAACAGTTTTGTTGTATTCCATCAAAGCTAAAGAGTAATGAGGCACAGCAAAACAGAAATCGCACCTGTGATGCAACTCCAGTATTTGAAGAATGGTTCTAGACTATCCTTTTATGATTATTTCTTGTAAGCAAAAGACCCATGGCATTTAATGAGTAATAATAATAATAATAATAATAATAATAATATTTATACCCCACCCATCTGTCTGGGTTTCCCCAGCCATTCTGGGCGGCTCCCAACAGAACATTAAAAATCCCAACAGAACATTAAAAAAGATTGGAGAACTTTCCTATGCCACCTCTCTGACACAATCTTCTCTGTCTCTCGCCACCTCTCTGACACTGTCATTCTCTGCCTCCCACTCCAACCTTGACTCTCTTTGTGCCCAGACACTCTTCTGGGTCTTCTTCTTCACCCACTCTGTGCCCTGATTTGTCTTCCTATTGGTATTTCCATGGGATGACTGGCATCTATTCATGTATGAAGAAGAACGTAACGGGATGCCCTCAAGTGTACCATAAGGGCTTAAGGCAGGGTAAGGAACCTCTAGCCTGCGGGCCAGTGTTGGACTGCCATTGGGCTCTGGGTTGGCCTGTGAGGCCTTTTCCCCAAACCATGCCCAACTCCCAATCAGCTGACTTAATTTGTGATGTCATCTGATGGGCACTTCAGTATGGTTAAATCCTGTGCTGACCCTCTGTCTGTTCCCAGCAGGGAATAGCAGTGTGTACCCAAACTGAGCAGGATTTAACCCCCCACTCATTAGTTGCCTGCTCCGAGCCATTAAGAAGAAACAACACTGCTCTTACAAGCCTTGATTTTCCATGGGTCTCTCTAAGCTGTTAAGGTAAAGGACCCCTGGATGGTTAAGTCCAGTCAAAGGCGATTATGGAGTTGCGGCACTCATCTCTCTTTCAGGCTGAGGGAGCCGGCATTTGTCCACAGACAGCTTTCTGGGAACACCATGACAGAAGTGCAGAGAAATGCCATTTACCTTCCCGCCACAGCGGTACCTATTTATCTACCTGCACTGGCATGCTTTCGAACTGTTAGGTTGGCAGGAGCTGGGCCAGAGCAATGGGAGCTCACTCCATCATGGGATTCGAACCGCCGACCTTCTGATCGGCAAGCCCAAGAGGCTCTGTGGGTTAGACCACAGTGCCACCCGCGTCCTCTAAACTGTAATGGAAGATTGAAAAGTGGATTATACCCATAGCTGCACAGATTTACTTACAGAAGTGTAAGCTCCTCATTTAGCCTTTGAGTCCATAACAGGAACTGTTGCAACATAACAAATCCATTGCAATCACTTCAATACCAATCACTACAACCAAACACACAAACGCGCAAATCGACCAACCTCCACTTTCACGGGAGTGCCTATAATCATGGTTTTTTCCTGGATGTTCTCATTGAACTCTGGGGAGTGATCGTTGACGTCAAGCACAGTAATGAAGACTTCAGCCAAGCTATACTTCCCCTCTGTATCTTCTGCCTTCACATAGAAGTTGTACTTGGATGTAACTTCTGCATCTAACGTGGCCCATGGCTGGGTGTAAATGATTCCAGTGGATGGATGGATGAGAAATCTGGAAGAAGAAAAACCAATGGCCAATATTTCATCTATTTCCAAGTTAGCTGCACAGACAGAAGAAAAGAGATCACCCTTATGTTCAGATGCACGCTTTTCAGAGCGATTTCTCCCCCTACAGTAGCTGCTGTGGGTGGCTGCAGTCCCAATTGTGCTTTGAAAATGGGAATTTATTTGTTACAAATCCTATTAGCCAATTCTCTATAAAATACTCCGAACAACATACAGTAAAACAAGTGTTTAACGTGCTGCATCTCTTAAAAAGAACATTTCATACCAATTGCTACAAAATACCCATTTAAAATCAAGCTCAACTCAGCTATTCAGCATTTTTGAAAGTCGTGGCGAATAAAAAAATATGTTGACCTATAGGTAAAAAAGGGAGCAAAAGGATGGAGTCTGGTATGCTTCTATGTGTACAGAATTCCACAGGGAAGAGTGTCATATAACTGAAAGCCTTGCTCGCTCTGTGGCCAGCCTTACCAAAATCATTTTTCTATGGAAACTTCTCAGTTTGTACAGCTTATGGGCATGGAAAAGATCCCAGAAGAGGCCCATTTTGACTTATTAAGATTAATTAAGGATGGAGTTATTGTGTAAGATGGCAGAAGTTATTAACACAAGGGCTCTGAAGTAGGAAGCGATGTCTTATATTGAGGAAAAACGTTAACACCTTTGGACTCCTCTAATTTGAGTTATTTCCCGTTTAATTTTAATTAAAAATGATTTTAAGGAAACGAGAAAGCAATCTGGAACTGATGGAGTATTCCCTGGGTCTGTCAGAGGGGTCATGTTATTCTTGCACTAAAATATATATATATATATATATATATATATATATATATATATATATATGCAGGTTTTGGTGTCCTCGGGTGTCTTCCCGTGTAAAAGTTGGGGTGTCTAGGCGACGTTTCGACGAGGTCTCACTCGTCATCTTCAGGCTGGTGTTTTCGGCTTCTTGTTACTGGAACAGAGCAGGATCTCAGTGTTTGAGTTCCTATAAATACTGTTGAGGAGGTGTGGTATATAGCCTCCAATGTTCTGGGCAGAGAGGAAGTTCCCAGGCTAGTGTGCCTTTTCTTCTTTTGTTCCTTAATTACTGGAGGGATATCTGGAGTGATTTCTTGAGTGATATCCTGAGTACCACTTGGGTGGGTCATTAGGTGTGGATTAGTTGCTAAAGCCTTCGTGTCTTGACCTCTTGAACTTGGCTTGAACTTGGCTCTGGCTTGGCTTCGTGTATAGGGGCGAGCTGTGGTTTTGTGGCCTGTGCCAGCCAGATCTGTGTAGGGATTGCAGGGGGGTGCAGCATCCGGAGGTTCCACCATGGTTTGGCTACTGGATGGTGTCTGTAATTTATCTGTGGAGAGGGTCTGGGTTTGGGTCTGGTGTGGTTGATTGGTGATGGCGTTCTGTGTGCCTCTGGATCTGGTGTCGGTTTTTGTGGGGAGGGCTAATTTCCAGATGTCTGGCAAGCGGGATGTGTCGTCACGCTTGTTCATGTTGTGAGGGTGTTTCTCTATCTCGATGGCTTCCATGATTATTCTCTTGTGGTGATGTTCCATGTTAAAGAGCAATTTGGAATCTGCAAAATTAATTTCGTGTCCTGTTTCTTTCATGTGTTGGAAAAGAGAGGAAGTTTTTTCCTCTTTTTTGACGGCATTCTTGTGTTCTGCGATACGTGCATTTATTCGTCTGTTTGTTTGTCCAATGTACGTGGCTGGGCAGACTTTGCAGGGTATTTCATAGACCCCTTGGTTTTCCAACTGGATTCTATCCTTGGGGTTTCTGAGGATATTGGCTATTTTTTGGTTGGTGCAAAAGGCTGTTTTGATATTGTGTTTATGGAGGATTTTGCTAATTTTATCTGTAGTGCCCTTGATGTAAGGAAGGAGGGCCATGCCATTGTTTTCTTCTGTGTCTTGGTTTTTGGGGGGTGTTTCTTTTTGGATTAGCTTCGTAACCCTGTTTTGCTGGTATCCATTGGCGATTAACACATTTGAGAGATTATGTTGACGACACCTTTGTAATTTGGCCACACGGGAAGGAAAAACTAGATAGCTTCCTCACACATCTCAACAGCCTACACCCCAAAATACAATTCACTATGGAAATAGAAGCCAACAACCAACTTCCCTTCCTTGACGTCCTAATCTACAAAAAACCTGATGGCTCCCTAGGACACACTATCTACCGGAAAAAAACACACACCAACCGCTACTTACATGCACAATCACACCACCACCCTGCACAAATAAACTCCGTAGCCAAGACTCTCATCTCCAGAACCAAACGCCTGGCTGACAAAGACCACTTGACAACTGAGTTACAGAATCTCTCAAATGTGTTAATCGCCAATGGATACCAGCAAAACAGGGTTACGAAGCTAATCCAAAAAGAAACACCCCCCAAAAACCAAGACACAGAAGAAAACAATGGCATGGCCCTCCTTCCTTACATCAAGGGCACTACAGATAAAATTAGCAAAATCCTCCATAAACACAATATCAAAACAGCCTTTTGCACCAACCAAAAAATAGCCAATATCCTCAGAAACCCCAAGGATAGAATCCAGTTGGAAAACCAAGGGGTCTATGAAATACCCTGCAAAGTCTGCCCAGCCACGTACATTGGACAAACAAACAGACGAATAAATGCACGTATCGCAGAACACAAGAATGCCGTCAAAAAAGAGGAAAAAACTTCCTCTCTTTTCCAACACATGAAAGAAACAGGACACGAAATTAATTTTGCAGATTCCAAATTGCTCTTTAACATGGAACATCACCACAAGAGAATAATCATGGAAGCCATCGAGATAGAGAAACACCCTCACAACATGAACAAGCGTGACGACACATCCCGCTTGCCAGACATCTGGAAATTAGCCCTCCCCACAAAAACCGACACCAGATCCAGAGGCACACAGAACGCCATCACCAATCAACCACACCAGACCCAAACCCAGACCCTCTCCACAGATAAATTACAGACACCATCCAGTAGCCAAACCATGGTGGAACCTCCGGATGCTGCACCCCCCTGCAATCCCTACACAGATCTGGCTGGCACAGGCCACAAAACCACAGCTCGCCCCTATACACGAAGCCAAGCCAGAGCCAAGTTCAAGCCAAGTTCAAGAGGTCAAGACACGAAGGCTTTAGCAACTAATCCACACCTAATGACCCACCCAAGTGGTACTCAGGATATCACTCAAGAAATCACTCCAGATATCCCTCCAGTAATTAAGGAACAAAAGAAGAAAAGGCACACTAGCCTGGGAACTTCCTCTCTGCCCAGAACATTGGAGGCTATATACCACACCTCCTCAACAGTATTTATAGGAACTCAAACACTGAGATCCTGCTCTGTTCCAGTAACAAGAAGCCGAAAACACCAGCCTGAAGATGACGAGTGAGACCTCGTCGAAACGTCACCTAGACACCCCAACTTTTACACGGGAAGACACCCGAGGACACCAAAACCTGCATTCCTGTACCCGTGAAAATCTACGAAAGCATATATATATATATATATATGCAGGTTTTGGTGTCCTCGGGTGTCTTCCCGTGTAAAAGTTGGGGTGTCTAGGCGACGTTTCGACGAGGTCTCACTCGTCATCTTCAGGCTGGTGCTTTCGGCTTCTTGTTACTGGAACAGAGCAGGATCTCAGTGTTTGAGTTCCTATAAATACTGTTGAGGAGGTGTGGTGTATAGCCTCCAATGTTCTGGGCAGAGAGGAAGTTCCCAGGCTAGTGTGCCTTTTCTTCTTTTGTTCCTTAATTACTTGAGGGATATCTGGAGTGATTTCTTGAGTGATATCCTGAGTACCACTTGGGTGGGTCATTAGGTGTGGATTAGTTGCTAAAGCCTTCTAATCCACACCTAATGACCCACCCAAGTGGTACTCAGGATATCACTCAAGAAATCACTCCAGATATCCCTCAAGTAATTAAGGAACAAAAGAAGAAAAGGCACACTAGCCTGGGAACTTCCTCTCTGCCCAGAACATTGGAGGCTATACACCACACCTCCTCAACAGTATTTATAGGAACTCAAACACTGAGATCCTGCTCTGTTCCAGTAACAAGAAGCCGAAAGCACCAGCCTGAAGATGACGAGTGAGACCTCGTCGAAACGTCGCCTAGACACCCCAACTTTTACACGGGAAGACACCCGAGGACACCAAAACCTGCATTCCTGTACCCGTGAAAATCTACGAAAGCATATATATATATATATATACATACACACATATATAGATAGATAGATAGATAGATAGTTCATGTTATCTGTTGATCTGAATATGCTTTCACCCTTCACCTTACTTCAACATATTTTAGAAGCCCCTACAAGAGTTGAAAACTGCTCAGAGGAGTGTGTGTGTGTTACTTGCTGCCCATTGGATATTTTGGTTTATCTCCCCCCAACAAAAAAATAAATAAATTCCTGAGCATTGGCCATGCTTGCTGAAGCTGATGAGAGCTGCAGTTCAACAACAGGCATGGGGTGGGGAACAGCTTGCTAAAGAGTGGCTTGTTGTTGTTGTTGTTTAGTCGTGTCCGACTCTTCGTGACCCCATGGACCAGAGCACGCCAGGCACTCCTGTCTTCCACTGTCTCCTGCAGTTTGGTCAAACTCATGCTGGTAGCTTCACAAACACCATCCAACCATCTTGTCCTCTGTCGCCCCCTTCTCCTTGTGCCCTCCATCTTTCCCAACATCAGGGTCTTTTCCAGGGAGTCTTCTCTTCTCATGAGGTGGCCAAAGTACTGGAGCCTCAGCTTCAGGATCTGTCCTTCCAGTGAGCACTCAGGGCTGATTTCCTTCAGAATGGATAGGTTTGATCTTCTTGCAGTCCATGGGACTCTCAAGAGTCTCCTCCAGCACCATAATTCAAGGAGTGGCTTAAGGCATGCCCTCTCTCTCTCTCTCTCTCTCTCTCTCTGTGTGTGTGTGTCTATTTGTATCTATATACAGTATATCTGCATGCAAATAATTATATTAAATCTAAATCTGCAAAAGTCAAAAGGGGGGGGATCAGTTCCAGTGTAACATGGATATGTTTAGATGTAATACTATTTTTACACAAGGACTCTGGAGCCTTTGAATATGGCGAAAAAATGAGGTGGGTGAATTGATTGCCTAGCATTTCAAGTTTCATATTTTTAATCCATTTTTGGATGTGCCACTTGTTTTTGTGAACACAGTGCGGTGGATTTCCACCCAGTCCCTCTGCGCTGAAACAAGGGAGAATGGCGCAGTTTTGCAGTTTGTGAGAACAGTGTATTGAGTCATGCGCTGAATAAAACAACACAGAGACCTTCAGCACGCAAGCAATGGAAGTGTGATGAACAGTGGCGTAGTGTGGGTTGTCAGCACCCGGGGCAAGGCAAGTAATTTGCGCCCCCTGACCCGTGGATTTTAGCATTTGAGTCTCTTCCACTAGATTGTGAGTGCGAGCGCGCCCCCCCCCCCAGATGTTTCGCCCGGTGCGGCCGGCCCCCCCTGCACCCCCATGCTATGCCACTGGTGATGAATGCAATGTTTGGCTGTAGGTTAGTTTGGCTGAACGCTGCGTTAAAGGTAAAGGCACTCCTGCCCGTACGGGCCAGTCTTGCCAGACTCTAGGGTTGTGCGCCCATCTCACTTAAGAGGCCGGGAGCCAGCGCTGTCCGCAGACACTTCCAGGTCACGTGGCCAGCGTGACAAGCTGCATCTGGCGAGCCAGCGCAGCACACGGAACGCCGTTTACCTTCCCGCTGGTAAGCGGTCCCTATTTATCTACTTGCACCCGGAGGTGCTTTCAAACTGCTAGGTTGGCAGGCGCTGGCACCGAACGACAGGAGCACACCCCGCCGCAGGGATTCAAACCGCCGACCATGCGATCAGCAAGTCCTAGGCGCTGAGGTTTTACCCACAGCGCCATATCTGCATGCAAATAATTATATTAAATCCAAATCTGCAAAAGTCAAAAGGGGGGGGGTCAGTTCCAGTGTAACATGGATATGTTTAGATGTAATACTATTTTTATACAAGGTCTCTGGAGCCTTTGAATATGGCGAAAAAAATGAGGGGGTGGGTGAATTGATTGCCTGGCATTTCAAGTTTCATATTTTTTAATCCATTTTGGATGTGTCCCTTGTTTTTGTGAACAGCACAGTGCAGTGGATTTCCACTTAGTCCCTCTGCACTGAAACAAGGGAGAATGGCGCAGTTGTGCAGTTTGTAACAACAATGTATTGAGTCATGCGCTGAATAAAACAACGCAGAGACCTTCAGCACTCAAGCAATGGAAGTGTGATGAATGCAACGTTTGGCTGTAGGTTAGTTTGGCTGAACGCTGCATTGGATCCCTTATAAATCAAGAAAGGGGAGAAGAATTTATTTCCTTCTGCTTCTAAAGGGAGTTAAGCTCTGCTCCTCAAACTCTGAGGTACATTTAGACTATCTCAGAGTAGGCAAGTCTGAAAATATTTGCTTAAATGAGTGTAGGACTGCAACTTCATCACACACAGACACAACCTGAAGGCAGCAGGTGAACAAAACTATTTGTCATACATTATATACCAATCATTTCAAACGACAGACTGAATTTATCTGAAAGATGCTAATGTGAAATCTGATTCTATGAATTTGCAGATAGAATGATTTGGGGGTGCCTTTTTTAAAACACAAGATAGTGCTAAGTGTTCTGGGGTCCCCTCACCACTTTGACTTTTCCAATAGCAAGGCCAAGTCATAAATTCTTGAGTAAACTTATTTTACTCAAAAATGATTTGGGGGTAATGGAAGTCGCCCAGAGTGGCTGGGCATGGGTGGGGTATAATAATAATAATAATAATAATAATAATAATAATAATAATAATAATAATTCACAAACCCTACTCTCACCTTTTCTTTTTTGCTACCAACTACTCTTCCTGCCCTTACTCCATATTGGCTTCATAATAAAGCCAAATCAGAATGAGGGCAATGTGTCCTGCCATTACTCTGATTGGCTTAATTGTAAAATGAAGACAACAAGGGGGTCCAGTAGCACACAGAACCATTGCTATGGCAACCAGGAATATCAGTAAGTGGAATTAACTTCACAGAGCCCCTACAAAATTGCTGAAAAATTGCTCCACACAACTCTTGGATTCAGCCCAATAACAACAGTAATAACAACCTCCTAATGTAAAATGTCCCAAGCAGAAATTAAAAATCAACATTGTTTATTGTTTTTTTTCATGCCCAGTGAGTCGGTGTAAATATTGGAAGTAATTAAAAATCTAATTATTTTTGCTAATTCCTTTTGAGACCATTTGCTGGGTATTAGAGTTATGACTAGGGATCTATGTCCAACTTTCTGCAAATGCAAAGGGCAAGATATTCAAAAGGTTGTTCATGAAGACAGAGAAATACTATTAGAATTCTGCTTTTGTAGAAGTGCCTTGAGTTTTTCAGGTGTAACCAGAGAGACAGCCCATCCCACGAATTGCTTAACGGCATCCTAAAAGAGGGGAGAAATATCTAAAGGAGATGCTTAACTGTTGTTGCTGTCATATATATATGACAGCAAAGGTCCGTATAGTTAAAGCCATGGTTTTCCCAGTAGTGATGTATGGAAGTGAGAGCTGGACCATAAAGAAGGCTGATCGTCAAAGAATTGATGCTTTTGAATTATGGTGCTGGAGGAGACTCTTGAGAGTCCCATGGACTGCAAGAAGATCAAACGTATCCATTCTTAAGGAAATCAGCCCTGAGTGCTCACTGGAAGGACAGATCCTGAAGCTGAGGCTCCAATACTTTGGTCACCTCATGAGAAAAGAAGACTCCCTGGAAAAGACCCTGATGTTGGGCACAAGAAGAAGGGGACGACAGAGGACGAGATGGTTGGACAATGTTCTCGAAGCTACAAACATGAGTTTGACCAAACTGCGGGAGGCAGTGAAAGACAGGAGTGCCTGGTGTGCTCTGGTCCATGGGGTCACGAAGAGTCGGACATGACTAAATGACTAAACAACAACAACAACAATATATGATTATTTTCTGCATGCAATGCAGGAGACACTGAGGGTTTTCAAGGTCACTTAGGAAATGTGGCTCAGAAGTGGAGGAAAAAGCACATGGTTTTCTGACTCTCTATCAGGGTCCATCCAAACCTTTTCATTCTCCATGGGTGAGGTGCTAAGCATCCTGCGAATGGATGTGCAGGAAGAACAATGGCTCCCAGGACCAGGATATGGCTGTGCTGGGCAGCAAATACCACTTACCTGAAGCCCCAGTTCAGTGGAGATAATCAGAGTTCTAAGGGATGCAGGTGGCGCTGTGGTCTAAACCACTGAGCCTCTTGGGCTTGCCGATCAGAAGGTCAGCGGTTCGAATCTGCGCAACGGGGTGAGCTCCCGTTGCTCTGTGCCAGCTCCTGCCAACCTAGCAGTTCGAAAGCACACTACAGTGGTACCTCAGGTTACAGACGCTTCAGGTTACAGACACTTCCGTTTACAGGCTCTGCTAACCCAGAAATAGTACCTCGGGTTAAGAACTTTGCTTCAGGATGAGAACAAAAATCATGCGGCAGTGGGAGGCCCCATTAGCTAAAGTGGTACCTCAGGTTAAGAACAGTTTTAGGTTACGAACGGACCTCCAGAATGAATGAAGTTCTTAACCCGAGGTACCATGGTAGTTCAAATAGATAAATAGGTACCGCTGTGGCAGGAAGGTAAATGGCATTTCCGTGAGTTGTGGGTCCCGTCACAGTGCTCCGTTGCACCAGAAGTGGTTTAGTCATGCTGGCTACGTGACCCAGAAAGCTGTCTGTGGACAAACACCGGCTCCCTTGGCTTGAGATTGAGATGAGCGCCTCACCCAACAGTTGCCTTTGACTGGACGTAACCATCCAGGTCCTTTTTAAATCAGAGTTTGAGGAGAATTCCAGCCAGGTAAAGGCACCAAAATATGACACGAAGCAGGAAAAGGAAGGGGCCTAGATGGGGGGCAGATTTTTGGCATGAGGGGAGGCCAGAGGGCCAGATGGAGAGATTTATTAGGCCCTAGGGGGCCTTACAGTGTTCCAGAAGGGTGATTATAAGTGGCACATCTTTTGAACGACATGCAGTTTTCATTGATAACCTCCTCAAAATTATTTGCTGCCCCCTAAGTGGCACATCTCTTGAATTGCATGCAGTTTTATTTGGTATCCCCCTTAAAATCATTTGCTCCTCCCAATCCCAATTTTTTATGCTTTTACGTTTTATTTATGCAAAACTTTTAGAACCCACAGTTGCTCAAGGCGGCTCACTCCATTGGTTTCACACAGTTCCATACATCAAAACAAACGAAAAGCACGCACTAAAACGGCAAACGTTAAAATGAAAAACAGCAACACCCTTTCCACAATCTGTTCTTCCTTTATGCATTATTGTTAGGTTCATGTGGAAGAACCTGGAGGTTTGGTCCTCTGCATATTGCTTTGCTTGAAATAGAACACTGTTGGTGTGAAACAGCCAGGGAAAAGATATAAGATAAGAATGAATTTCATCATGTTTGAATTTGATGCATCAGACAGAACATTACTCTCATTCATTTGGTAATAGCAATAAAAATTATGCAAACTTTTTATATATATAAAAATACACTTAAACAAAAATATGTATATATCCATATGTATGTTTAAACTTACAGATCTGCACCAGTTCCATAAATGGAGTATTTCATTTCACCCCAAAGTCCTGAATCAGGGTCTGTTGCCTTAAGAAGAAAATGGAAAGGGGTACTGATGGATTAAAATAGAAACGAAGCAGACTTTCATGACATGCGTAATTGGTCACATTGAGGATGGAAAATAGCAAAAACCAGAAGGCTACTTTCCCTAGGGGGGCGCAGCTTTGGGAGTGGGATTTGGAGGGCAGAAGTAGCCAGGGTGAGAGAGGGTGCCTCACCACTTTTCAGTCTAATAATAATAATAATAATAATAATAATAATAATAATAATAATTTATTTATACCCCGCCTATCTGGCTGGGTTTCCCTAGCCACTCTGGGCGGCTCCCAATAGAATATTAAAAACACGATAAAAACATCAAACCTTAAAAACTTCCCTAAACAGGGCAGCCTTCAGATGTCTTCTAAAAGTCAGAAAATTGTTTATTTCCTAGACATCTGAAGGGAGGGCGTTCCACAGGGTGGGCGCCACTATCGAGAAGGCCCTCTGTCTGGTTCCCTGTAATATCACTTCTCGCGGTGAGGGAGCCGCCAGAAGGCCCTCAGAGCTGGACCTCAGTGTTTGGGCTGAACGATGGAGGTGAAGATGCTCCTTCAGGTATACTGAGCTGAGGCCGTTTACGGCTTTAAAGGTCAGCACCCCAAATGGCCACAAACTGCTTCTATCTCCCCACCCCACCCTTTCACCACCAAGGTATTTGGAGATGAAAATGTGCAACTGAAAGTTTGTGACAGGGGGGGGGATTTAACGGTGGGGAAGTCATGTCAATTACACTGGTACCTCAGGTTACAGAAGCTTCAGGTTACAGACGCTTCAGGTTACAGAGTCTGCTAACCCAGAAATAGTACCTTGGGTTAAGAACTTTTTTCAGGATGAGAACTGAAATCACGTAGCGGCGGCGTGGCGGCGGCGTGGCAGCAGCGGGAGGCCCCATTAGCTAAAGAGGTACCTCAGGTTAAGAACAGGTTAAGAACGGACCTCCGGAATGAATTAAGTTCTTAACCAGAGGTACCACTGTAATATGCATCCATCTGCAAAGTGTTGGGAGAGGATGTCGCTAAAAGATGCGTGTGTGTGAGAGAGTAAACTTCAGGATCAGGCCTACACACAAAGAAAAGGTGAAAAATTCCACCTCTGTACTAGCAGCATAACCAAGCGGGGCCACTGGGTGGCTCCCCTCACTTGAGATACATGTCACCATTAAAGTTTGGGACATGGAAAATGATGAAATGATCCTCTTTCTGAGCATATTATTCTGCTAAGAAAATATCTAGGCATTGTGCAGATTGTGCCCCTAGAAAATACGGGAGAAAATCAATCATCTAGCCATGTTTTATTTTCCCCTTAGCTGTTCTAGTTTAAGCTAAACAATGTGTGAGATGAAGAAAGCATGCTATGCAGAAAGGTTCAGTTCTTTCCAATGGCTTATTTGGCGCAGACGCAGCGGTTTCATATCAGCTAACTTTCATATCTTCCACTACAGAATCATAGGAAGTATAGTTTGTAGTGCAATCCTAACCAAGTTTGTCCTGCTTACTTTGGTGGGAAGAACATCAGTGGGAATTATGTTAATCCAGAAGATATCATCATTATCATCATCATTTATTATTTTTACCCTGCCCATCTGGCTGGCATTCCCCAGTCACTTTGGGTGGTTCCCAACAGAATATTATTATTATTAATAATAATAAAAGTGATAAAGGGTCAAACATTTAAAACTTCCCTAAACAGGTCTGTCTTCAGATGTCTTCTAAAAGACAGATAGTTGTTTATTTCCTTGACATCTGATGGGAGAGCAAGCGCCACTACCGAGAAGGCCCTCTTCCTGGTTCCCTGTAACTTCACTTTTCTCAGTGAGGGAACCGCCAGAAGGCCATCGGAGCTAGATCTCAGTGTCTGGGCAGAACGATGGGTGGAGACGCTCCTTCAGGTATACTGTGCCAAAACCATTTAGGGCTTTAAAGGTCAGCACCAACACTTTGAATTGTGCTGAGAAACATACTGGGAGCCAATGTAGTCTTTCAGGACTGGTGTTATATCAAATTATAGTGTGAATATTCTCCTGGGGTCCCTGCATATTCTACAGAGTCCAGCAACATCTGGACCCAGTTTATCCACCTCCACTTTAAACAGCCATATATTCTGAATTTGTAGAACATGGAAAAAAATTCGAGGATAGACTTAGCTTGGACAGACAAACCATCTATCAAGTAACAGATAGGTAGCCGTGTTGGTCTGCCATAGTCAAAACAAAAAAATTCCTTCCAGTAGCACCTTAAAGACCAACTAAGTTAGTTCTTGGTATGAGCTTTCGTGTGCATGCACACTTCTTCAGATACACACTGAAGAAGTATCTGAAGAAGTGTGCATGCACACGAAAGCTCATACCAAGAACTAACTTAGTTGGTCTTTAAGGTGCTACTGGAAGGAATTTTTTTGTTTCATCTATCAAGTAGTTTCAGTACAGTTTTAAAGTGGTGGCATTATTATTTTATTTGCGTGGATACTGACAAACTATAATTTAATTTAAGAAACACACCCTTACTCAGCAGAGCAAATTCCAAACTGCATTGCTCTGTGCAGAATAACAGACTATGGTGAATTCAAATTCAAATTCTAAAAAGCAATCCTAGCTTGCGTCTGTGCTTAGACTCATGAGAGATTCAGCTCTACAACTCTGTGATTCTATGATTCTATTTTTTTTGTCAGTTTCTGAATATATAGATCCTCACCTCTTCCCAGGGGCAATAATTACAGATATCGAGAGACTCATGGAACTACACAGAATTATAACTGCAACAGAGCATGGCTCTAGAGGAATGAATAAAATTTACCGTTACAGCCACAACATTGGAGCCGCCAGGAGAATTCTCTGGGATCCTCGCGATGTAGTAATCAGATGAAAACTTCGGGACATTATCATTCGTATCCAAGAGACGGATCACAATATCTGCCGTTGAACTGAACTTCTCAGGTGTGTTAACTTCTATTGCAAGAAGCTAAGGAGGTAATTGAGAAATTACGAGCTAGTAAGTCATGCAAAACCCAACAGTTGTGCTTCTACAGAACCCAGCTATTTTATATGGAACTGACTAATTTGCATTATGGCTAATAATGATGATAGATAATCCCATCAACAGAATATATTCCACATGGAACAGAAAGAAAGAAAGAAAGAAAGAAAGAAAGAAAGAAAGAAAGAAAGAAAGAAAGAAAGAAAAGAACAGAACTCACAAAAGTTGGAATTCCATCATTGTTACGTTAATAAAAAGTTAATTTTCAAATGACTGCAAAAATCTGAGTATAAATCCCTTATGGCATAGCCATGTCTGTGCGCTGCCTGTATATCATTTCGTTAACCACGGGAAGGACTCAAGTTTTCAGCACATCCTGAATCAAAGAGATTCAGCCAATGGCGATGGAACATTAGCATCGCCACCAAAGAAGGAAGCAGTACAAAAGAACATAAGAAGAGCTCTTGCATTCCTTCTTTGTTGAGACCTTGATGGCGATGCTCAAGAAAACTACATGGCAACTAGCAACCCAGAATAAAATGAAACCAATAAAGCAGAATAAAATGAAACCAAATCAATCTTGAACATCAATACACCAGAACAGTGTGTGTGTGGGGATATGAGTGGGATACACTTATGAAAAGTTAATAATAATAATAATAATAATAATAATAATAATAATAATAATTTATTACTTATATCCCACCCATCTGGCCGGGCCTCCCCAGCCACTCTGGGTGGCTCCCAACAGAATATTAAAAACACGATAAAACATCAAACATAAAAAACTCCCCTAAACAGGACTGCCTTCAGATGCTTCCTAAAAGTCAGGCAGTTGTTTTTTCCTTGACATCTGATGGGAGGGAGTTCTACAGGGCAGGTGCCACTACCGAGAAAGCCCTCTGCCTGGTTCCCTGTAACCTGAGTATTATTCTTGTGACTAACTTAAAGCCAACATTTTTTTATTCTGCGTCCAGCAATTCCTCAAAGAGAACATGGAGCAGCATTGAGAACATGGAGCAAGATGGAGCAATGGTCTGCCTTATGTCTCTGGGAATCTTAATAGGCCACTTCCACAGGGATGTTCACATGTCTTCTGAAGACCATGCGTTGAATACAGTATAAAGATTGGCGGAGTCAAGAGCCAAGGAGGTCATCTGGAGTAATAGTAAGATGGTAATGAATCAAAGTGGGCATCAAGCTGCCCCCCCCCAGGAGAACATGTAGGGGCAGAAGACAGAGGTGACTATTCCTCCCCCCAAAAAAATATTCAAACGCCCAAGGACCCAATCCAAATCTGTCTCTGAAATATTGCTTTCAGCTTGAATTGAAAGCTGCTGCAAATAGATGATGATATGCCTATTAAAGACTGTTAATCATTCCCTCCGCTACGAATAATCAAATATCGGGGACCAGCATAAAACAAAGGTTATCTAAAATTAGCTTTGGATATTCCATTGCTCTTGGATGAAAATAGCAGGTCTGCTATCTTAGATATGTCAGATAATGAACTATTGGAGGCAACACCAACACCACAAAACATTTGGAATGTACAATTTCATGTGGAAATCTGGTCTCAAATCAAGTTACATGTCTTTAGGTGCCAGGCAAAAACATTCCTCTTCTCCCAGGCCTTTGACCAATTAAACAATTTATGGCAAACTGTGTGTGGCGGGGTTGGGGTGTTATTGCTTTTGCTTGTGAGTATGTTTTGCATTTTTGTGTTTTTATATCATAAATTGCATTGTGTTCCTCGGATGAATGGCAGTAAATAATAATAATAATAATAATAATAATAATAATAATAATAATAATGATGATGTCAGTGGAGAACTCTCTACTGGCACCCATGGTGAATGCATCTCTGCCTTTCTTTGTTGCCAATGCATTTGGAATTTACAAAAGGGCTTTAAAATGTTGTATAAAAGCCCTTTGCTGTTTATCTTCAATCACTTGTAAATAACAACAACAACAACCATTTTTCAGAGACAAAGTGTACAATTTCTCAAGTAAAAAGAAACACACACTTTTCTCTTTTAATTACTTCCTTTGGTGTTTACAGCGGTGCTCTTAATCATGCTGAATTCTATTAGTATTCATGAGGCCACGCTTTGTAATTTCCTTACCATGCATACTTGGGCAGTGCTTTATAACCTTCTGAGAATTTTCTAGTTGTAACAGGAATAATTATAGGTTGTGTTCCATGTGCACCTCTTGGATGAAACACCCCATGAAATAAACAGGCAAGGGCCTTGACAGGGCTCAAAAGGAGCTCCGAAGGAGTCATCAAATCCAGCCCTCTCCCATGAGGCAGAAATATCCACACCTCTCCCCCCCGCCCCCCAAGATTTACCCACACAAGCCAGAACACTGTATGCCGCAAACAGAGAGGTCAAACAAGTCGTAAATAAGACAGCAAGATACTTGCAAATCGCGTAGGTTGAGGTGGCTCTTGCAAATGAGCCAAGGGACACACTTCGGAAGGGCTTCTATAATTTTAGCCGCATAAAAAACTATTTTGGGGGCGTTTATTGTTTGTTTACAGATAGTTGCCTTGGTGATGTTATCTTGCGTCTGCTGAAGTAGCCGTTGCATCACCACCCAGTTTATTGTTTTTCAGTATATATATGATATGCAGTGTTTTTTTCTTAAAAAATATGTTTAGGGGTACTCTCATTTTGACTCAAGAAAATCACCATTTTGTAGTTCGGGGAAAATAAATACAGTAAATGGACAAATGGACAATGATTCACAAAAAGTTTAGGGGTATGCGTAGCCCTGTGTCCTCTCAGGAAAAAAAGCACTGTATATATGACATCTCAAGATTCTATGCTGCAGCTTTAACCCTTTGCGTAGAAGTTTGGATGCAGGATTCCCCCACGCACCCCCTGGTCACCATTCCAATCCCCCTTCAGGAATTGGAGGGCAATTTTCTGAAGGAGGAAGCCTGCTGTAAACCCACAGAGGCTTCCTGCACATTTTAGAATGGGGTTCTAAAACACCAAGGGAGAGTCGGCCAGGGCAAGAGACTCCCCGCTTTAGTAGATTGTGCTCCAGCTCATGATGAACGATCGGAATGGCAATGCGGGAATGAAGTTAGCACGAAGGCAGAAGTTACAATACCTTGAAGGTGAAGACCTGGAACTTTTCGTAGTCTATGGCAGCTGAGTTTTCTACAATGATTGTGACCTGCGCTTCATTCAGCACAGTCTGAGGGACAACGCGGAAAATGCCGCCTGGCCCGACAAGCCGGAGGTTGAATTTCGCATTCGCCCCCTGTGAAGAAAGAGCCGGCATTAAAAAATAAATGACAAATGTATCATAGCATATAACCCAGTACTGTTGATTTTATTACAGAAGAGACACATGTGTGTGTTAAGGGTAAAAAAATCCTAGTCTTCCCGCAATAAATGTGGAAGTAGTGGGATTGTTATTGGTAGTTCTACCCTTGACCTAAATGGGCCTGTCAGCTATCCATGTCTGCACAGTACAGTGGTAAATCGGGTTACATACGCTTCAGGTTACATACGCTTCAGGTTACAGACTCCGCTAACCCAGAAATAATACCTCGGGTTAAGAACTTTGCTTCAGGATGAGAACAGAAATCGCGCGGTGGCGGCAGCGGAAGGCCCCATTAGCTAAAGTGGTGCTTCAGGTTAAGAACAGTTTCAGGTTAAGTACGGACCTCCGGAACGAATTAACTACTTAACCTGAGGTACCACTGTAAATGGAAAGTAGGCTTGCATAAGCAAACATGTGGAGGTCCTGCATTCACAACCAGGAACTCTGCTGTTATCATGGAACCCTGTAAAACATGTAGAAATTGGGGGATAGAGTCGGCATTTCCTTTTCCACATGTGGGGGAGAGAATGAGAGGAGAGGGCAAGAACGACTGCTTAGTATCTTCAATTCAGCAGCTACTGGATGAGAGAGAACTAAGAGGCTTTCTGAAGTAATCTCCCCAAGCTTTGGCTCACAAGACGTCGGTGGTTTTGATAAAAATAGATTTGGGAGCTTGCCTATACCTCTAGTCACACTGGAAGAGCACCTAGTTTAGGTTGGCTAAGTGTGAGAATAATCTGGAAGGTAGACTCTGAGATGCTGAACATTCAGAATGACCCGATTACCTAAATATGGGTCATTTTAGGTACAAGGTACACCTCCATATACTTTGACCAGAGGCGTGCTTGAATATTATCCCTCCTTCTGCTAAGAAAGTACTGGGAGTGGCCTTAGGTTGGTGGCACAGGTCTTTTTATTATTATTCCAGATTAATATGGTTGCTGCTCTGGAAATAAGTCACTACACCTTTCTGAGAGACAGGTGGCAGGCAGGTGTGGGCGACTCCCTGGTCCTGAATGGGGTATCTGTGCCCCTGAAGGACCAGGTGCGCAGCCTGGGAATCATTTTGGACTCACAGCTGTCTATGGAGGCGCAGGTCGATTCTGTGTCCAGGGCAGCTGTCTACCAGCTCCATCTGGTACTCAGGCTGAGACCCTACCTGCCTGCAGACTGTCTCGCCAGAGTGGTACATGCTCTGGTTATCTCCCACTTGGACTACTACATGGGGCTACCTTTGAAGGTGACCTGGAAACTACAAGTAATCCAGAATGCGGCAGCTAGACTATTGACTGGGAGTGGCCACTGAGACCATATCACACCAGTCCCTAAAGACCTACATTGGCTCCTAGTACGTTTCTGAGCACAATTCAAAGTGTTGATGCCGACCTTTAAAGCCGTAAACGGCCTAGGCCCAGTATACCTGAAGGAGCGTCTCCACCTCCATTGTTCAGCCCAGACACTGAGGCCCAGCTCCGCGGGCCTTCTGGTGGTTCCCTCACTATGAGAATTGAAGCTACAGGGAACCAAGCAGAGGGCCTTCTTGGTAGTGGCGCCTACCCTGTGAACACCCTTCCATCAGATGTCAAGGAAATGAACAACTATCTGACTTTTAGAAGACATCTGAAGGCAGCCCTGTTTGGGGAAGTTTTTAATATTTGATGTTTTATTGTGCTTTTAATTCTGTTGAGAGCTACCCAGAGTAGCTGGGGAAACTCAGCCAGACTGGCGGGGTATAAATAATAATAATAATAATAATAATAATAATAATAATAATAATAATAATGCTACTACTGTATGGTCTGCCTTGCATCCCATTGGCTAGCCTGATGCCCTCATTTGTAGTAGACAATGCACACTGGTTGGGGCCAGTGAGTGCTGCTAAACTTTCCCCTTGAACACCCAAAGACGGCTCCAGTGGGGAACAAACAGGTGCAGGTGGAACCAGAGATCAATTTTGGGTAGGAACGGGAAATATAAATATAAATTAAAAAGCAATCTTGAAGTTCAAAAGAAAATTGCATGGTTTCCCTTGTGATAGGAAGGGGAGTAGAACCTAGCAAACAAAAGATCTGTGCAAAATATACTGGCCGTGACAACTTTTGGCTGGTCTCTGCTTGCTCCGTAATATTAGTAAGCGGTTAATTTAAATTTTGCTGCCTTCTGCAACTGCAGAAGCAGCAATTACGAGGCTGGCTGCCTCAGAAGTAGTTACTTATCCCTTTGCAGCAAGCTGGCAGGGAACCTGCTGACTTTTATATAGAGCAGAATGCAACCATGTTAGCACAACACTGAGTATATGCTACATGTTGATGGACTAGATTTTCTTTTCAATAATTGCAGTCCTTTCATGTGTATTAAACTTTCAGGCCTCAACTTTTCCTCTCCGGTTAGCTCAGGTGGAAGCTATTACAGAGGTTTCCTTAGCAACCTTTGCCATAGTTTCCACATAAAATAAACTGTACTGAACCTAAAGGAATCCCATTCCTCTGGTTAAAGAATACAGCGCTCACTGCATATGGGATAGAGTGCTTATTTTTCAAAATAAGGCTCTAGTAGAGTAGCTTTCACAATGCTCCAGAAAGACCAGGACCAGAATTACTATTTTTTAAAATAAAAACTAAAAACTAAGTGGGGAAACACAGAATATTATCTCCATCGGCTGTTGCAATAAATCAGCAATAATGCAATAAAGAAAGGGCACGACCCAGTCAAACTAAGACGACAAGGCTTGCTGAATCAAACAAAATATTCATCCACTAACAGCATTTTGTTTCAAGGACACAAATGTCATATGCCCCTGGAAATCAAGCAGGACAAGAAGACAATGGATTGTTGGCTGTCACCACCACCTAGTTTTCAGTGCTGTGATACTTAAAACAAAAGGTTTATGGAATCAAGGCCAGCCCACCCATGAGGCAAGATGAGGCAACTGCCTCAGGTGATAGGATCCACAGGGGCAGCAGATCCTGGTGTATATCTTTATACCCCCCCGATCTTCCCTGGCAGGGAGGAAGCATTTTGTGGTTCGCCTCAAGTGAGAAAATGTCTTGGGCTGGCCCAGAATGGAGGTATAAGAGAGAAGCAAGAAAGGAGAGATAAACAAACAAAACAAAACAAACAAAACAAAACAAACAAACAAAACAAAACAAAAAACACCACACTGGCCTGATCTGAATCATTGACGGTAATTTTGAGGCCTCTCAGAATCTCGCCCTCCGGCGGATGCTCGTACATTGTGAGTTCAAATCGGTTCTGTGGCCCGTTTTCTCCGTAGAACGTCGGCGGGTGGTTGTTGAGGTCCACAACTCGTATGGTTGCCGTGGCAAAGGCGTGAGCAGTCGCCTCACCCTCCGGGCTGATTTCGGAAGCCTGTAGTGAACAAGAAATGGGTTTGCATGGGCTTTCCCTCCTGCTTACGATGCTTCATCCGACATGCAATTTGCGAGTTTGATCATATCAGTATCTTTTGCTGGTTGCAATTGAGACTTCAGCGACTCCAGCTCTTCACCATTGGCCTCAGGGCTGACCAGAGGAGAAAGGTCGAGATTCGACTTCCCACAGCCCCAGCCTTGCACGGTGTTAAGCATACTTAGCTAAAATGAGGAACTGTCAGCTCTGTGTACAGTTGCCCTATATATTAGAGCATATTCCTGACAATGAAATATTTCTCGAGTTCAGACCTACTCTGACCAGTTGGTCCTCCTGGACAGAAAGAACTCCAATAGGCTTGCTGACCAACAAGGACTTCCTAGTTCTGGTATGTTTCTGGGCATTCCTTCCTGACTCTTGGCTTAGTCCCTTGGCTTAGAGTCTCTGGTGCAAATCTGACAGCTTAACCTATGGTTTAGCCATAACACATACAACATATGTTAACAAATTTGCATAACTTGAATAATGCATTCCTATCATTTTTTAAAAAATAATATTTATTAATTTTCAACAATTTAAACACAACACTACAAAAAACCAAAAAACAACAACGATACAACAATACAATACCATGCAAAAAACAACACTAACACAAATAATTAACAAAACAAAACAAAAACCATTCAAAACACAATCCAATTTCAATATCTTAGCTTTCATTCACTTGTTTCCACGACCTCCTCACACCTCCCTTTTTGTCTTCCACTTCTATTAATTGTTTCAGCAATTCCTCTCCATCTTCCTCTGTTTTTTATCCTATAATTATCTTAACACATTCTAACCTTATTTTTCCCTTTAATACCCTATTAATCTATCTATACCTGATTCCTTATAACATTTCTACTAAAGCCATATAACTTCATTCCAACATTTTTCTAACATTCATTAGAATAATGCATTCCTATCAATCCTATTAAACTGTCTGGTTACCTAGTTAAAGAATCCAGATCTTTTCTCTTTCACACACCAGACCCTTTGGGTAGAGTTGGCATTGACGGAGAAAATTGTTTTTTAAAAATGGTATAGCAGAAAGCAGCAATATGCATCAATTCTCCTATGTAAAGAGGGCACTACATTTGCAGTAGTTGAAATTCAGCACACTGCAGATCCATCAGAAGTGGTAAGGGGAAACATTTATAGCAGGAGAGTAAGACAAATACCTGAATTTTCAGTTCATATACTTCTTTCTTCAGCTGATTTGGGCTTTTAATAACAGAAATGGCTCCAGTTGCGTTATTTATTTCAAACGAGCCTTCACTTCCTGTTACAAAACAGAAATATACCTTTCAAATTTTCTAGCCCCCTCAAAAAGAATCTGCTTCAATCTAGTTGCAGTCAGAGGTAACTAGTTGTGCAGAGCAACTATTGGCCATACCCAGAGTACTGGGAAGTTATTTTGATTGAAAATAGCTTCCCAACCATGCTGAACACGTGACCTGCTGTTTAAGAGACCTAGGACTCATCTACACAGCTGCAAATGAAATGTTTTAAATGTGTTGGAAAGTGCAATATACAAATGTGACACTAGATGGCAACAGTAAAGGTAAAGGTAAAGGTAAAGGGACCCCTGACCATTAGGTCCAGTCGTGACCGAATCTGGGATTGTGGTGCTCATCTCGCTTTATTTGCCGAGGGAGCCGGCGTACAGCTTCCGGGATATGTGACCAGCATGACTAAGCCGTTTCTGGCGAACCAGAGCAGCGCACGGAAACGCCATTTACCTTCCCGCTGGAGCGGTACCTATTTATCTACTTGCACTTTGAGGTGCTTTCGAACTGCTAGTTTGGCATGGGGCAGGGACCGAGCAACGGGAGCTCACCCCGTCACGGGGATTTGAACTGCCGACCTTCTGATCCTAGGCTCTGTGGTTTAACTCACAGTGCCACCCGCGTCCCTCTAGATAAATACCAAACTTGTCTTGCTTACTGGGGGAATTACCAACCACCAACAAATGCCAATATAAACAAATTTAACAAGTTTGTTTACTAAAAAGGGTGATCGGCGAGTCAAATGGTTTTGCTGTTTGAAGTGACAGCATAGAAATACAAAATAGCAAGTAGTTACAAAAAAATCAACACATCATTTGGGAAGAAAGGCAAACTAATGCCAGTGTATTGGAAGAAGCAAAGACCACCAGTGTTGAAGCAATGATTCTTCAAACATCAACTTTCTTGGACTGGTCATGTTGTTTGAATGCCGAATTATCGTCTTCCAAAGCGACTATTCTATTCTAAACTTAAAAATGGAAAGCATAAAAAAGAGGTTTTAAGACTCTCTCAAGACAAATCTAAGCACCGACAATTGGGAAACACTGGCCTACGAGCACTCCAATTGGAGAACAGCCTTTACCAAAGGTCTCATGGACTTTGAAGACGCTCAAGCTCAGGACGAAAGGGAGAAATGTGCTAAGAGGAAGGCACGTTTGGCAAACCCTCACCATGATCAACTCCCACCCAGAAACCTATGTCCCCACTGTGGAAGATGTGTGGATCCAGAATTGGCTTCCACAGTCACTTACTGACTCACTTTTAAGACAGTGTTCATGGAAGACAATCTTACTCAGCTACGAGTGATCAGCAAAGAAGAAGAAAGAAGAATGACTTGCAGAATTATCCATCCTTTTGCTGGTGGAGCCATCCATGCACAGAGGGGTTAGCATAGGGCTTAGTAAAACCTGGTACTTTTCTGTGTCCTTCATGAACCCACTTTGGAGAATGACATGCCATTGCTGGGAATGAGAGGCCTGTGCAAGATTCCCATAGGCAGTTCCATGTTAAGGTAAAGGTAAAGGTACCCCTGCCCGTACGGGCCAGTCTTGACAGACTCTAGGGTTGTGCGCCCATCTCACTCTAGAGGCCGGGAGCCAGCACTGTCCGAAGACACTTCCGGGTCACGTGGCCAGCGTGACAAAGCTGCATCTGGCGAGCCAGCGCAGCACACGGAACGCCGTTTACCTTCCCGCTAGTAAGCGGTCCCTATTTATCTACTTGCACCCGGGGGTGCTTTCGAACTGCTAGGTTGGCAGGCGCTGGGACCGAGCGACAGGAGCGCACCCCGCCACGGGGATTCGAACCGCTGACCTTTCGATCGGCAAGTCCTAGGCGCTGAGGCTTTAACCCACAGCGCCACCCGCGTCCCAGTTCCATGTTACCCTCCCTTTTTAGTACAAGTTACTTGCATGCATTCCTGCGCCGATCCCTCCATGTGTGGTTGGCTCCACCAACATGGAAATGGATTATGTCACAAGGGAGTGGAACCAGTGAGGAATAAGCATATGTGCTCTATACAGGATCTGGAAGAAGGTGCACTCTCTCTGTGTGAGAGATTTTTCCCTTTAAATGCTCAGTATCCATCTTTGAATGCCGTATTGCTCGGGTGTGCAAAACATAAGCAAAAGCTGAAAAAGAACACTTTTCTTTTGCTGGGGCATAATTATATCATCCAACAGTGCAAACACCTCTCACAAAGCTCAAGTAGGTGAGAAGTTAAACTTTCACAGATTCCTTTCCCTGCACATGTTTCTGAAAAACACACAACAGCCTCAACCACAAACTCAGTTCCTTGTATCTCGGGCATTCAGTGCTCAACAACAACAACAGCAACAGAAGCGGCAAACCCAAATCTTTGTATCTTAGGTGTTAAACATTCCACTTCCAAGTAAGCTAAAAAATATGAAAAGATATGAGTCATGCAAGAGGCTTGGGTTTTTTCCTGATGACTACTTGAGGCAGCTGTAAGTGCTAAAATCTTGCTTTTTAGATCTAGTTAGTCTTCTAGAACTGGGCTGCTCACGATTCACCCAGTCTAGAACCAGCACCAGACCAATGTGGATTGCTTGCATTTGGCTTGTTGAGTTGTATATGGCCAAAAAGGGGCAAATAAATATTGGTGTTGTATACATACATAAATCAGAATATTTTGCAGACCTAGAGAAAGAGGGACCATATTTTGTCTTCACAGCCAAGTAGAAAAAGGAAGGAGCTAGACAAAATATTGAGTCTAGTCCTCAATTACACAGAACCCCATTTCTGCCATACATGGAAGTATGGGTAGGATAAAAAAATCTCTCTTCCAATCATCTCTCTAAACAACTACAATTTTTACCTCTCATACCATAATTGGTCCAATCTAGCTAGTGACATAGGCACACAGAGTTAAGCTTCCACACACAGGAACTGCAAACATGAGATTTCTGACAAAGTTCAGCAGCCAGGTAGGATTCCAAGCTACTACTAAGTTTACTGGTCCAATCAAAATATTATACACTTGGCCAACTGCTAGAATCATAGAATCAGGGATTTGTTTTCAGCCGGAACTTGCCAGAACTTAGTTCCAGCACCTCTCTGGTGGGCACCATTGCCATGAAAATAGAACAAGGGTGGAGTTCGTGGTGAGTTCTGGCACCTCTTTTTCTAGAAAAATAGCACTGTATGGAATCCTAGGATGGTAGAGTTGAAAGGGAGTCCGAGGGTCATATAGTCCAACCCCCTGCAATGCAGGAATCCTTTGCCCAACATGGGGCTCAAACCCATGACACAGAGCTTAAGAGTCTCATGCTCTAGTGACTGAGCTATCCCAGGTCCATGTGCAGCCAGAAATTGTTGCAGTTGAGCATACATTTCTGTCAATGTACATGCATGTGCTGGCACAGTGCATGCCTTTGTGCATGCCTGGGCACTGACAGCAACCTCAGCTCAGCTCGAATCTTTTCTGACCCTCTGATCCTAGCAACTGACTAACAGGATACCGTAAGGTTGTGATGGCTACTACACTGTTGGGAGAGATAGAGTTGTGAAGGCCAGGCAGTCTAAAAGCAAACATGTACCTTCACTTCAAGCTCAATCCCTTCACCAGAGCATCACTGAAGGTGGCTTTCAGCGATCTCTGAGTGCATTCTCCAAAATGACATCCATACAGTTTGCTCTCCTATTCATAGCACAGATAAAGGTAAAAGGTAAGGCAAAGGACCCCTGGACGGTTATGTTCAATCAAAGACGACTATGGGGTTGTGGCGCTCATCTCACTTTCAGGCTGAGAGAGCCGGTGTTTGTCCACAGACAGCTTTCCGGGTCATGTGGCCAGCATGACTAAACCACTTCTGGTGTGACAGAAACCAGAGCACACAGAAACACTGTTTACCTTCCCACTGCAGCAGTACCTATTTATCTACTTGCACTGGCGTGCTTTCGAACTGCTAAGTTGGCAGGAGCTGGGACAGAGCAACAGGAGCTCACCCCGGCATGTGGATTCGAACCGCCGACCTTCTCATCGGCAAGCCCAAGAGGCTGTTTAGACCACAGCACCACCTGTGTCCTAGCACAGATAAACTAGGGAACCCACAGTAGATCATGAGCTCCCGTCCCTCAGAAATCTCACCCCAGGCCTTAAATCTCACTGACTCAGGTCTACTTTCAAGCAGTGCAACATCTGGTGACACTGCCATAGGGAGATTGAGTGCCCCTGTTCCCTGTTCCCCTACCCTTCAGACCTGACAAAAAATTATCAGTGCTATCCTCTGGTTTTCTGACCATTGCTGCATGCATGCGACCCTGACTGGTGCATGCACGTTTAACATGTTCAGTACAACAGGAGTGCAGCATGTGTTCAAGAGAATTTTCATACGGGGGATGAAACACCTTCTGGGGCTTAGCCAAGCCTAGTTTGAAACTAGGAGTGTAGGAAATCCAGTTAAAGAAAACATAATCGATACTCTTCTCTGTTTCCTTCTCTAATTTAACACTGATGCTCATTTTGAAAACTGCCCAATAATGTCTCATTTTGCTAATATCTGCAATAACTGTGACTTCATTAGAAGGCATTAGACTTCGCACTGAACACGGATTGACTTATGTGGAGGGCCATTATCAAGATTCATAGGGCAGAAAAGGAAAGCTTGACTACAATGGAAATGAAGTCAATAGCAGTTTCAAGTGCTCATATATCATGCTATTCACTGCCTAATTGCTATGTGGAAATAGATAATTCAGAGCATGGTTCATCATGTGTTTTCTGGAGGATTTGCCAGCATATAGAATATAAAGTTCTTTTCAATGGTTTAGCACTATTTATTCTTTAATAAGAATAACAGACGTTCCTACAATTCCACTGGGTAACAGGTAGGAAACATCACATGGGACTGAGATGGTACAAAAAGCTTGGGGAAGAACAAGTATGCAGAAAACATGCATCTGTTGTTACGACATGTAAGGAACGTAATTGGTAGTTTAAATAACTCGCCATGATATGCGTGTCTGTTTTGTGCTATGCAAAAACAACCACAGCAATTTAAATGCATATACAGGGTAAGTCCTTTAAAAAAGGTCCCATGGATACAGAGTACACATGTTCCATGCTGCCTCCTTTAAAAGACTCACCCTGTATTTTCACACTGGCAGATAATGAAGTGCAACCTAAGACGTGCAAAATAAACCGATTGCAGAGGAATGGAAAAGACCAGATAAAAACGCAAATTAATGTCGGAACGGATTGAGGCGTGTCCGTACGTCATTCTTATAAAGCCACTGAAAGTCAAATGGCAGAAAACCTATTCTTTGAAACTGGGTGTGCCCCAATCATGTATAAATTCAGAGAGAGAAAGAAAGAGAGAGAGAGAGAGAGAGAGAGAGAGGGAGGGAGGGAGGGAGGGAGGGAGGTTGAAGAGCAAAATGGGATGTCGATGAAGGGAGCTGCACTCTCCCATTCCAGTTCTATACCTCTCTTCCCCTGGCCCGCACAGTTTGGACCCCAAAAGTGAAAGCAGGACTTTCAGGGAGGGGGAAACAATACCTGGGAGATAATCTGTGAGGAGATAAACTGCAGAAGTGAGGAAGGAAGGTTCTGCTCTTCAGCGGCAGAGCATATGCCTGCGCTGCCCAGGGCGAGTGCGCTTCTGAGGGGGGGCGGGGCACAGAGGCCCCCCCCCAGGCACTGGATAGCCACTCGGGTGCATGGAGCGGCACACGTGCTGGGCGTGGAGTGAGTAGCCGATGGCGGACATTCGGTGCGCCTTCTGCATGGGACTCCCAAGCCTCCCCCAGACTGTCAAAATGAAGGGGAAAGGGGGGAATGCCACTGGCAAAGCAGCGCAGCTCCTCCTTCCCCCAACAGCTCAGGGTAGGCTTGGGAGTCGCGGGCGGGCGGGGTGCCAAATGTCACCCCCTTCAGTGAAAACACCTGGGGCGGCCTGCCCCCACCGCACCCCCTTCCTCCACCCCTGCTGCTCTTCTCACTTGTATTCCCCCTTTCTCTCCACAACTTCCGCTTTTATATGGCCTTTTTTATATGGCCCCAGTCCTGTATACGTGAAGGAGCGTCTCCACTCCCATTGTTCAGCCTGGACACTGAGATCCAGTGCCGAGGGCATTCTGGTTGTTCCCTCCCTGCGAGAAGTGAGGTTACAGGGAACCAGACAGAGGGCCTTCTTGGTAGTGGCGCCTGCCCTGTGGAACACCCATCAGATGTCAAGGAAATAAACAGCTATCTTATTTTTAAAAGACATCTGAAGGCAGCCCCGTTTGGGGATGTTTTTAATATTTAATGCTGTATTGTTTTTAACACTCGATTGGGAGCCGCCCAGAGTGGCTGGGGAAACTCAGCCAAATGGGTGGGGTATAAATAAATCATTATTATTATTATTATTATTATTATTATTATTATTAACATGATTGGGGCGGGCAGGTACTTAAACTAACAAGAGTCTGCTGCCATCACTTGTTGTAGTCTGAGCTAGCCAGGTTGTGCTATCTCCCCAAGGTCCAGTTAGGAGGATTCCAGGTAAAAAAGGCACTCTCAATATCCTCCTTCACACACCAGGTACTTGACATTACAAAATGCGTCCTTTTCCCAATATGAAGATAGAAGTTATGTGTGAAATAATCCTTAGTTTGAGGGTAAATATTCTGCAGATAATGCCATGCTCTACTTGGCTCTCCCCGCCCCCCCCCCGCCCCCACAATCCCACCACTAATAGCAGCTTCAAATAATAGACTAACTCCTCCCAACAAAACTGCCCTGATTGAATTAACAGAGTTTTAAGTTAAAAACAAAAATCAAGACAGTCATATGGATTTAATCTAGCTTGGCTGTCAAGGGTAAAAGTAGAAACATAGTCTCTGTGTGGAGGGGCCAGAGTTAAGGAAGCAGGCTAGTTCATCTGGACTGAAAACCTTTGTCATCTGGGACTGTGCTCCACTGTGACTTCATGTTTTTCCCTTGCCTGGCATTGTACTGCTTTCTGTCTCCACTAAGAACTGCTAGACCCAGATCTTATCTCATCCAATTGTACTCCCCATGATCTGTCACAAACCGGCCCTCGGCTCTCAAGCATCACCCCTGCAACAGTCTCGGCCAACCGGCAATCCTGCCCAGTGGCTTAAAATTGGTTCACTCATCATCACAATCCTCATAAGCAAATGCAGTTCATTAAAAGAGGAGAAACAGGCCTGCCAACACACAGGAAGACATGGGTGGAATCTACACACACATTAAAAAAAAAAAAACAACTGCTGTGAAAATGCTTACCCCCCAAAAAGTTTTGAAAAACACATCGGATTTGGCATAGCTCACCATTGCCATCTAGAGTCGCATTTGTATATTGCACTTTACAACACATTTTAAATGTTTCATTTGCAGTTTTATAGCTGAGTCCCATGGAGGCCAATATGCCCATTCTTGATGTGTACAACTCCTATTATCCCTGACCATGGAGCTGAAGGGAGTTGTAGTCAGAAGGGCGCCATGTTGGGAGAAGCTTTTAAATCTCCTAGAACCTCCCTGTGCCTTCTTAAGACACAGTGAGAGCGAATATCTATTTTGATTACATATTTTGTGGTTTTATATTTTGATTTGTTCTGTGAACCGGCCTGAGACCTCCGGGTATTGGGCAGTATATAAAATAAATAAATAAGCTTTACAGCAAACCAAAGCAATGTTAAGTATACCTGTTCTTTTACATCGGATAGGCTTCCTTGCATATATGAAACCATAACTAAACAGTGAGTTCGATGGCTTTAGGTATTCCTTTAGGATTTCAAACCAACCCAGTAAACTTACCATTCAAAAGACGGTAATGAATGTCATTAGGCTTCCCTCGGTCCCCATCAATAGCAACGACCGTTATTACCTCAGAACCCTGGAGAGAGAGAGAGAGAAAGAGGAAAAGAAAACAGGAAGCACAGGGAGGTAAAACTGCTGTAAAATATAACTCCAAGCCAACCTAATGCATCAGCTCTCTCCCATGTAGACAGGCAACACAATATAAACTGAGCACTCTACTTGCAGACAGCCTTGCCAAACACAAGCTCACTGGCATGATATGGTAAATGATTAAAGAGAGGGGAACTAAAGGTCCTGTTCTGTATTTGTAGTTCTGCTGAGAGAATAACTTTTCTATATTTTTAAATGGCGTATTTTAACAGAGAACACGGCAAGACCAAGTTCAAGCAGCTGAAAACAAATCAAGGAGCTTCGATATCTTTGGTGGAAGGACCAGCAACTTTTTGCTCAGTGATGGGAGGGGTTGACCACATCTCAGAGTTGCCTTGGACTCTAATGAGCGAGACACATCCTTCTGCAATTGTTTGGAAAGCTTGGGGGGGGGGGCGAATTGCGGAGCTTTGAAAAGCGCTTTAGGAAGAAATCCTCTTCAATAGCTAAGAAAGCAATATGCTAAAAAAAGAGAAAAGAACGTTCGACCTGAAAATCCACTCCCTTTGCAAGTTTAATGGGCAACAACTGCATGTGTAAATAATAGTAAACCTGGAAAGAGCATTTTACTACATGGAGTTTCTGACATACTAAGCAGGGAAAGAGGTGAGTTTTTCCATCATTATAATATGATAATATTTTTGGTTATGGGGCTCACAGTGGTGGTGATTAATGCTTAATTATCCCTGATTTCCTCTGTGAGCTCCATAAAAACACACACAACTCGGCGTATTTAATAATTATAGGCATTTCCAGATCATTGGTTAATAGCAGCACAAAGTAAATTATTATGTTTCACAGCTTTATAGCACCTCTTATTGCCAAGGATTATGAAGTGCATGAAAAACACCTCCAGTATTCCCCAAAATCATTCTCTCCTGCCCTCTAACTGGGCAGGCTACAACAATATGGGCAGTGAAATATGGTACCAGTGTCGACAGAAATAACTGCAGATCGTGGAGGTGGAAGCCTCCATAAACATGGTTTGAACAGCAAGTTGCAGCACCACAGAGCTAAACTATGAGCTCGCTTCAGCTCTGGAGAATTTTATATCCACTTGCACAAGCTAAACCAGGATTAACCAAACCTGCAGGTTGAAGTTGGATTTCTGCCGAGGTTGAAAATGCAAGTGGATGTACTATGTAAGTTCAATTTGGACATTAAGGCTTGGCCTTACCATTTGGCAAAGTCAAATAGCTGGGGACAACGTGTGCATATAATCATGCTACAACCCTTCGTTATATCTGAGCATCATAAATTAATTCTGTAAGAACATGGCTTGTCTAAGCAATACTTCTGCTAAGCCATTTATGGTACGTGTTTCCCCCCAGTCTGCTTCAACACTCTCTCTTTGTTCACCTCCTTTCTGCCTACCGTCTTTCCAAAAACACTTGGAAAACTTGATGCAGTTTCAAGATGATCTGATTTTAATTGATTAATTCTGAGCATCAAGCGTAATCCAAGGGTGCACTTACAATCCACTGCGCGTGAAGTGGGGTGAAAGGATATTTCATAGAATCATAGAATCATAGAGTTGGAATAGACCACAAGGGCCATCGAGTCCAACCCCCTGCCAAGCAGGAAACACCATCAGAGCACTCCTGACATATGGTTGTCAAGCCTCTGCTTAAAGACCTCCAAAGAAGGAGACTCCACCACACTCCTTGGCAGCAAATTCCACTGTTGAACAGCTCTTAATGTCAGGAAGTTCTTCCTAATGTTTAGGTGGAATCTTCTTTCTTGTTTCAGCCTCCTCTTGAAGCAGGAGCTGCCCACACTCCTGTCAGGCATCAGAGGAGCCAACCCCCACAGCAGGTTGCCAGGAATGGATGAGACAAGGAAAAGTCCTTACCATCTGCTTTTTATTTAATATTCCCAGAGAGAGGCTTGGAATGCAGCCTCTCAGAATAATGGCATTGCTCTGAGTGAGTCTCCACCCCCTCCATCTCTCCCACTTCCTCATGCATCCTCACCACGGGTGCTGAAAAGTGTCCTTTGCCTTTGAGCTCTTTGTTCTCCTACTTTCAATGCTTGCCGGGTTCTGGGAAAGGGGGGTTCTGGAATGCTTTCTAAGACACTGTGTCTGTCAGCTGTCCCCCCTCTGGTGCTTCTTCCTCCTCCTCTCCATTATTTTCCAGCTTTCCCCCTCATCTGCCTCTGAGCTGTGACCTCCCTCAAACCCCTGTTGTAATTCTGAACTGTCTTCTTCTCCTCTCGAAGGGTCAGGCTGGGGAGGCAGTCTCCACCATTCTTCCTCTGCCCAGTTTTCTGACAACTCCCCTGAAAAGTGACCCCTTCAGGTCCGGGGACCTTGAGCATTTTGTGAGGAGCAAAGGGCTACTCACTGTCAGAAAGGAAATCAGCAATCACCTTGCACATGTGCACTTTGCATCCTCCCCCCTCCAGTTATTTGTTGCAGAAGCTGCATCATTTTAGCAGGGTGCACAAGAAATGATACTCACGGCCAGAGTGTCCTCATAGACATATCCATAGTAGGGAGTGCCGACAAACATCGAGGTGTGTCCTGAACATCTTCCACATTGATTGTGACAGTGGTTGTGGCTGAGAACACCTTGTTGTTGCCACGGAGCTTGCCGCCGCCATCCTAGGATGTAAAACAGTTCCAAGATCTTAGGATCCCTTTGCATTTCACAAAAAAGCATGCACTCCACACATTTGGAGTGAGAGACCAGGCTGAGAAGTACAGCTCTGATGAGGAATGGTGGGAGCCTCCCCCTCCCCTGTGCCTGATCAGGATCCTGAAGCTACCCAGGAACAGGAGGACAGAATAGATTTGGAACAGTGGTTTGCAGAGGGGCCAGTGGCGTAGCGTGGGGGGTGCAGGGGGTGCCAGCCGCACCGGGCGCAACATCTGGGGTTAGGGCAAATCCACAGGTTAGGGGGCGCAAATCCACGGGTTAGGGGGCGCAAATTACTTGCCTTGCCCCGGGTGCTGACAACCCACGCTACGCCGCTGAGAGGGGCATAGTTCTGAAGACAAAAGTTGGGACGAACTGGGGGTTGAACAGCAAAGTGAAGTAGAACAGGAAGAAATAGAGCTAACAGACTCTCTCTCACTGGAGACTGCACAGCCTATCAGTCCAAGGACACGTAGAGCAGATAAGATGGCTGCACAAAAGGCACAATGGTTGCAAGATCAGGTTGCAAGGCGCAGAAATGACGAGGGGGGAAGTGGGTGGAAACCTTAATTGGAAACACCGTCATTTCGAGAATGGCTGTGTTGGTCTTTTGCTGTGATCGTTAAAGACTCTTTAAATGGTAAGCAACTCTTTTCACTTTGGCCTGCTCATCTACGGCAAAAGGGTCCCTGAAGCCTGACAATTGCTCTGCTCCTGGTAGAATAGACTAACTGGACATGTTGAAAATTAAGTGTACACCAGAACTGATGGAAATAGGAAATATCTGATCTGGCACAGATAGATGGGGCTCATTCCCTGAACCATAGGAAGTTCCCCCCTCATTTTCAGCTTTTCTTCTGTTAACTACTTCTGAGGAGGCCTGGCTTTAAGTGTCCAAGATTCTACATCCCCAGGATTCTAAGGAGAGAGGCTTTTCCCCGGGGACCACTCCCAAGGTGACAACAGTTACTGTCACTGGACCAAGGATTTATTGCAGTCCTCCTCATGGATGCAAGCCTTTCGCTGTGTCAGCACAATATCAGTGGTATCAAATTACCAGCCAGTATCCCCCCCCATTCATCTGAATTTATCCTCTCTGCAGAATATACGATAAGCAAAGAACAAACACTTGTTGCCAACAACCCATTTGCAATATCTCAATGACTCATTTGGAATATGAACCCAGCAATATACAAAATGCTTCTACGCATTTCTCAATTTTGCTTTATTTTTAATTGCTCTTGTTTGTTCCTCAGCCGAGGTAAATCCATCACATATGCTTTGTTTGCTTTTCTTTGAAAGGTTTGCAGATTTGAGCTTCAACTGGTCAAAGGGTAGCTAAGTCGGAAAATTCCGCTCTCCTATAGGGTACCAGAGGCTGAATTTACCCAGAATCCTTAAATACAGGCCTTGACATGATGGTAAGACCTCACTGATCTTGGCAACATTATTTCTGAAGGAAAAATCAGAGGACTGGAGTCCCTTAAAGACTCCCTTGTGATGGTATAATCAAAGTGCAAACAGCCTCTATGGACTATGAGAGAATTGACTCCTGCTGGAGCTGCAGGCACAACATAGGCAATTAAGGAGTCAATTTGACATATGTAGCCAGGAGGAGCCTTTCAACACCCAGTGATCATCATGGCTGAGCAGGGCTTTGAACTTCAAAGATAATCTACACAAACAACCAGATTATGCCCCGAAATCTTTAGCTCATATAGTCACTATGTCCATTCCACCCTTTCTTGGGCCAGGGGAATTGGCCTGTACACTGGAATGTACAAAGCATCTGTACAAAGGAGTCACAGATCTGCACAAATCTGTTTTCAGTTAATTATTACTCTCTTCTCCCACACACCCCAATTTCATTTCCTCCTCCTCCTCCACACCACACAGATTGATGACTAAAAGCTTGGAAATGGGTATTCAGAAATATAATGAGATAACAGTCCATCTTGGATTGTCCAAGTTCAGAATGAAGGTGGAGGAACCTTTTGACTGAATGCTCTCTCTCATGTATAAAACTTCCTGAACCCAGAAAAGTAGGATGTCAGGGAACAGGAGTCTAACCCAGCCTTCACACTGAGATGTGCAGGGTAGGTTTATTGTTCACAAATATTTTTTAAAGTAAACAGGAGTGTATGGTGAGGAAGGTTGCTGTTGTAGATCTGGCCTCCCAGCAGTGGTAACATTGCCACATAGAATGTAGAGTTGGAAGGGACCACAAGGATCGTCTCGTCCAACCCTCTGCAATGCAGGAATCTTTTGCTCAACATGGGGCTCGAATCCACAACCCTGAGATTAAAGAGTCTCGTACTCTACTGACTGAGCTATCCCAGAACAGCAAGGATAGGTAAGCAAGTTTGGGCCATATAGGGCAAGACCAGTAGATTGGCTCACTGATGCACTTTGAACCATCACAACTATGCTCCTGGACTAATAATAATAATAATAATAATAATAATAATAATTAATAATATAATAATAATATTTATTTATATCCTGCCCACCCCGGCCAAAAGCCAGCCATTCCCAGTACACGGCAAGAAACACTGCTGCCAGGAGGCCAGATCCATAGTAGTGGTCCCTCCCCACCAGCTCTTCTTGGACTTGAAGTTAAAAATGGGCAACCACAAACAATGGATCACACCTGACTACACAACAGGATTGCAATGCAACAAAGAGACCTGCTGGTTACAACGCTTAATATTTCCAGCTTATGTGGGATAACTGAAACATATATAATGGTACTATATATGGGCTTGTGATACCATAAATACACATTTAGCATGACCTATGTTTTCAGAGATGGAAAGAAAGCAAGGTCCCTATCAGAGAAGGACGGCAAAACAAGCTGATGGACTATGCCAAAATAGCAAAACTTGACTGGAAAACTCAGAAACCAAAGAGGACAAAAACTTTATAAAAGAACAGGAAAAAATTATAAGTTATTTTAGGAGACCACTGTAAGCAGATGGAAACATTGGCAGGATTTTTATTTCACTTGTAGTGTAACAATTACAATGGACAAAACTGGTTGATATAAAAATTAGAGTATGGAAGAATATGGAGTTGTAAATGTTCAAAATGGGACCCCGTGGAGGGGGCGGGGGGGGGAGTCCTGAGATTCGGAGGAATCTCTCTATATGGATATATATCTGGGTTTTGTATTTGTAAAACTAAATAAAAGTGATTTCAAAAATAAAAGAAAATAATGCGACATAGGTTTTCATGGTCTATATTAGCATTAGGCTAAGTTTCAGGAATATGGTTGGTGTGTGCATTTAGAAGTGCAGTCAGAGAAAAATAAGATACAGAAAAGTACAGACAGCAATAATTATATATACGGCAGTGGTAATTTTTTTTAAAAAATGTTGACGGTATAGACCAGGGGTAGGCAACCTAAGGCCCGGGGGCCGGATGTGGCCCAATCACCTTCTCAGTTTGGCCCACGGACGGTCTGGGAATCAGCTTGTATTTACATGAGTAGAATGTGTCGTTTTATTTAAAATGCGTCTCTGAGTTATTTGTGGGGCATAGGAATTTGTTCATTTCCCCCCAAAAATATAGACCAGCCCACCACATGGTCTGAGGGACAGTAGAGCAGCCCACAGCTGAAAAAGGTTGCTGATCCCTGGTATAGACACCCTGGCATTGGCAAGCGAATTAACACATATTTTGGTTCTGTCCATAAGTGATAACACCAAGACTCTTGGTGTATTTTAATTCAGCACTTTTCCATTGCAGTCTCCCATCAAATGACAAAGTGGACCTGACTGGGCTAAATGGACCATTGGCCTGGTTCTGTAATAAGGGAGGTCCATACATTGTCAAGACCAAAAGTTGTCCACCCCTGCCCAATCATCACCATCTCTTTCAAAATGTGCACAGATACCTTGCACCCACAGACTCTGCAGGATACCACTCACTCTGTTATGGTAAAGCTGGATATGTTCAGCTGCCATAAACCATTTCTCCAGAACTTCACACGGCAAGAATACGGAAAGATACTCGGGCCATGTGCTTCACTGTAAACCCCAGGAGAAATCACAGCAAGACTTCTCAAGGATTGCTTTGATAGACTGGCAGAAGTACTGTAGATCCAGTGTTGAGAAAATATTAGATGTCACAAGCTATTTCAGGCCTGTTAGATCTCACACCATTTCTATCACCTGCAAGGGTGCTTTTCTTTGCCCTTGTACAGTTTTCCCCACAGCTGGAAAAGTATGATCAGGAGAATATATAAATACCTTTGCCACCACAGTAACAAAATAAGTTCTGGATTTTTCATAATCAAGAGTGATCCCGGTTTTGATGCGAAGGACACCACTGTGGCGATCTATAGTAAACTTATTTGTATGGATGTTCTAGAAGAAAAGAAAAGAAATGTAAGATTGTGTGTGTCTTTAATGCATAGGTTGATATCCTCCTGCTGTCAGAAACCAACTTTATACTATTTGCTCTGAAAGAACAAGACCTACGGCAACACAGGGAACAAGCGGCTGCCCCGCGAAAAGAACGAGCGCTCTGCACAATGTGAATTTCCTTGAGACAAATGGAGTTTTAATCTTCAGTAGGTCAACTGACTGAAGCGAACTGGAGCAAGCACAGAATCCATCCCCTCTGACAGTAGCATGGCCAATTACCCACTGCCGAGAAAGGAGATTTGCATTACCAAAGAAGACACCAATTGGCATGCGGTGAATTTTATGTAGAGGCACAAATTCAGAAATAATTGATATAGTTTAAATAGAAGTGCATGCTTCCCACCATACTGGGGAAGGCACCAGGTGACTCGGGTCACTTGTTCAGTCTGCTGACCCACAGCTGCCAATAGCTCCTCAAAGCTCTCCCTTTCTATGACCTGACAGCCCTCAAAATAGAGGACCGTTCTCTTTAAAGTAGGGCATAAGGCCACCCTAATTGTCAGGGGTCTTTTTCTGAGTGAGGAGATTCTACTCACTTTATGCTCTGCAACCGCCAAGGCTCCTGTGCTCACCCCATTGTGAGCACCCATTTATTTGCATTGTCCAAAGAAGGGTGAAGTACAACAGGGAGTTATGTTGATGTAAGGTAAAAGGTAAAGGACCCCTGGACGGTTAAGTCCAGTCAAAGGCGACTATGGGGTTGCAGCGCTCATCTCGCTTTCAGGCCAAGGGAGCCGGCATTCACCCACAGACAGTTTTCCAGGTCATGTGGCCAGCAGGACTAAACTGCTTCTGGCGCAATGGAACACTGACGGAAACCGGAGCCCACAGAAACGCTGTTTACCTTCCTGCTGCAACATTACACCAACCTATAACATACTTCCTTTTGAAATCCTTGTCATCTCTACAACTGCCAGTCTACAAACACAGAGGAGGAGCTGGTGATATGACCTGACAAAAGGATTCGAGAGGCAGGGGGCACATAGTATAGGACCAGCTCTCAGAATTTATGAATGTTGTGACAGGCTCAGCAATATTCTCAAACTTCCCATAATTCTTACTCGTGAACTCAAACCATTTATTGTAAAGGACAATTGAGTTGTATCCAGGATAGAGCTATGTGAATGTTCTCTCTGCACAAAGATTTCTGCTTGCACAGCAAAATGTTCACCCCCTCTCCTCCCTGTGCATCCTAAATCTGTTCCATGGGTTTTCCCAACCCTCTGGAGCAGATGTGGGGAGTGGGAGGAGAGGGAGTAAAGTCCTGGTACATAAGCAGGAAAAAAAATTGCACAGATGGGACACATTAGCTCAGGCATCCCCAAACTCAGCCCCTCAGCTGTTTTGGGACTACAACTCCCATCATCCCTAGCTAACAGGACCAGTGGTCAGGGATGATGGGAACTGTAGTTCCAAAACAGCTGGGGGGCTGAGTTTGGGGATGCCTGAATTAGCTGCATACAGCCCTGTAGTCTGCCATCTTAGCAATAACAAGCATCATCAAAACACAGGGTGTGTTTTTTTTTTCTTCCTTTCCTGCCTCTGGGCACATCCCACCAGTGGCGTAGCGTGGGTTGTCAGCACCCGGGGCAAGGCAAGTAATTTGCGCCCCTAACCCGTCGATTTGCACCCCCTACCCGTGGATTTGCGCCCCCTAACCTGTGGATTTGCCCTAACCCCAGATGTTGCGCCTGGTGCGGCCGGCCCCCCTTGCACCCCCCACGCTACACCACTGCATCCCACAATTTTTAGCAGTATAACAATCCTTATACAGTTACATGTGCTTTACCAGAATATGTATAGAGTTTCATTTCAGGTAAAAGGACAGCTAGAAACACTCTTTCTGACAGCTTAGCAGTAAGGAGATTTTGTTGTGTTACTTGTGAAAACAATTATACCCCACTTTTCGACGCTCAGAGTGTTTTGCGGTAAAAAATGAAATGAAATACAATACAGCCGAGAGCTTTTAAATGGAACCAAAACATAAACACCATGGTGGAAACAAACAAAAAACCAATCAAAGTTTAAAACCATGGGGGGGGGGGGAAAGGGGCTTCAGAACTTTGCTTAAAGTTCAAAAGGGAGGCTCACCACCTTGGTACTGTGTGCTTTCTGAGGAGGGGCAAATCTGTGAGAAGACCGTATTATTTGCCCCTCAATCATCTGGAACACCTAGGACAGGGGTTGCTCAAAAAAGGAGAAAGAAAAATGCTAAGGCCTCTTTTCAGTAAAGAAGAATGATTGCCTTTCTGTCTCCCTTGGCTGTGCACAATGCTCAGCTTATGGTTTCTCTCCTTTCAGTATTTTTCTCCTGTTAAGAAGATTAGATTTAATCCTACTTAAATATTTGTGCTTTCAGAAGCAGCTACTTGATTAGTGAGCTCTCCAGTGTCTGAGGAAAGACCAAAATGAATAGGTTTACACGGATTCTTTTACCTCTAGTTGGGCGGGAATCAAAATTACTCAGCTGTGAGATTTTTATATTGCAAGCTCTATTAGTTCAGGTAGACAGTGTCTTTTTTTGCACTGAAGTTTTGTCTTTGAAAGGGGGAAAAATTCCATGAGAAGAACCGGAACTGTTTCCACTGAGATATTGCCCCCTCCTAGATGGGTCATTCACTGATACACAATTGCAGCCAGATAAATTAGGACTTGTGTATAGCTAGCTGGCAACTGATGCACTTGTGGCAAAGTATCATTAAAAGGTAAAGGTAAAGGGACCCCTGACAGTTAAGTCCAGTCACAAACGACTCTGGGTTGCGGCGCTCATACTGCACTCAAAAAACCCATATGTCTGAACAGTACCAAAAAAGAAAAATGAAAATTTAGGGAGAAAGAAACACAAGTAAAAAGTCATCTTTCAAATGGAGAAATCTCTAAGAATTGCTCTCTCCCCTTCCAGGATATGTCTGTCTTCTGCAATGTGCATGGCTTTTTGCACTGTAGGGAGGGGAAATGAGAAGGTCACGAAACCATACTTTTGCCTCCAGCTCAATACACAAAACAACCTTTCCTAACTCATCATCTCAAGTAACCCTGGGAGGTAGATCAGTGATGCTTTCAGTTTATGAATTGGAAACTGAGGCAGACAGCTGCAGCGAGTTGTCATGAGATTTGGAGAAGCCTACCCATCCAATAGGCCTTTGGCCAGGGCACAGCCTGACTCCCTCCCTCAGCAATCTTCGCGGAGCTCTGGCCCAATGGTTGCCAGTGGCTTGATTTGAATTAATTTTATAATGAATGATTTTAGAGTGTTGTTTGTGCTGTACTTTTCTACTGTTTTATTGTTGTTAGCCGCCCTGAGCCCGGTTTCGGCTGGGGAGGGTGGGATATAAATAAAATGTTATTATTATTATTATTATTATTATTATTATTATTATTATTATTATTATTTAACCTTTGAGTCACACAAGTCCGCTTACTCACTCTTAGGGGTGTGGCAGCTTTGTGGAACAGCCAGTGCCTCTCCTCCTGCCAACGATGCAGGGCTGGGTGTCAGGATCTGATCCTTGCTGGACCGCGAGCTTCAAATCCTGCTCTGTGTCAGCCTGCCAAACTGGCCAATGGCAGGCTGGTGTGGAGGGCTGGGCTCTCTGGGGGCAGGCTGGAGGGAACAATCAGGCTTCCCTCAGGTCCACTCCTGGGGGATTTAAAACAGCCCGCACCAGCCCCTGATGCCCGGCTCTTCTTCATTGGATCAAACCAACTCCAGTAATTTTGCATTTACTCATTGAATTGACCTTGCTATGGCTGTGGTAGTTACCGCATGTATGGGGCCGGCTAGGAATTTGCCTACCAGGTGAATTGGCTGTGACCTGAAGGTTTTGCCTACCTCGTAGCAATCGCCACAACTTTTAGAGGTTTAGGCATTGAGTAGGGACACTGGTGGGGACGCGGGTGGCGCTGTGGGTAAAAGCCTCAGCGCCTAGGGCTTGCCGATCGAAAGGTCGGCGGTTCGAATCCCCGCGACGGGGTGCGCTCCCATTGCTTGGTCCCAGCGCCTGCCAACCTAGCAGTTCGAAAGCACCCCCGGGTGCAAGTAGATAAATAGGGACTGCTTTCTAGCGGGAAGGTAAACGGCGTTTCCGTGTGCGGCTCTGGCTCGCCAGAGCAGCAATGTCACGCTGGCCACGTGACCCGGAAGTGTCTCCGGACAGCGCTGGCCCCCGGCCTCTTGAGTGAGATGGGCGCACAACCCTAGAGTCTGGCAAGACTGGCCCGTACGGGCAGGGGTACCTTTACCTTTACCTTTTAGGGACACTGGTGGCACTGTGGGTTAAACCACAGAGTCTAGGACTTGCCGATCAGAAGGTCAGTGGTTCGAATCCCCGCAACGGGGTGAGCTCCTGTGGCTCGGTCCCTGCTCCTGCCAACCTAGCAGTTCAAAAGCACATCAAAGTGCAAGTAGATAATAGGTACCGCTCCGGCGGGAAGATAAACGGTGTTTCTGTGCGCTGCTCTGGTTCGCCAGAAACAGCTTAGTCATGCTGGCCACATGACCCGGAAGCTGTACGCCGGCTCCCTCGGCCAATAAAGCGAGATGAGTGCCGCAACCCCAGAGTCGGCCACGACTGGACCTAATGGTCAGGGGTCCCTTTACCTTTACCTTTAACCTTAGCCTGTGTTGGAAGGGGCGAGGTTGTACCCTCGCCTTCCCCTCCAGAAATAGAGTGTCCTGTTAAAGGGATCTGTGATGGAGTTGCTTCTGTCCATTTGCCCAGACAAGGGGCTTGGGCCTCAACGGTCCTGGAGGCGGTGATCCCTGAGGGGATTCCCCTATTTGATATAAGTTGTAGGAATCCCCACTGCCGGGGTTGACCCTGATGTCATTTCCGGTAGTTAGCCTGGAAATGCCTACCCAATGCCTATGCCAAACCACTTCATCTGAAGTCAATAAAGTTGTGGCCTGATTCAATCCCATTCAACTGTGTGGTCTCCTTCATTGGTAGCTCACCTGAGTGGAGAGGACATGGCCTGGCCCTGCAAGTATCATTTCAGAATATTTTTATCTCATGCTGTACCAGGCTGAGCTCATAGATGGGGAACCTGTGACCCTCTAGAAGTTGTTGGACTGCAACTCCCATCATCCTTGACTGGAGGATGGTGGCTGAGGTTGATGGGAGTTGCAGTCCAACAATATCTGGAATGGCAAAGGTCCTCATTTCTGCATTATATCATTAAAGGTAAAGGTACCCCTGCCCGTACGGGCCAGTCTTGCCAGACTCTAGGGTTGTGTGCTCATCTCACTCTATAGGCCGGGAGCCAGCGCTGTCCGCAGACACTTCCGGGTCACGTGGCCAGCGTGACAAGCTGCATCTGGCGAGCCAGCGCAGCACACGGAACGCCGTTTACCTTCCCGCTGGTAAGCGGTCCCTATTTATCTACTTGCACCCGAAGGTGCTTTCGAACTGCTAGGTTGGCAGGCGCTGGGACCGAGCAGCAGGAGCGCACCCCGCCGCGGGGATTCGAACCGCCGACCTTTCGATCGGCAAGTCCTAGGCGCTGAGGCTTTAACCCACAGCGCCACCTGCATCCCTATTATATCATTATGGAAGTTCTAATGTTCTTGGTCTCAACTTCATAGTCAGAAGGTACTCAAACAACAGACACCATGCGATGGATTTTAAGTGGCTCCCAGTGCTTCCAGTCCACTCTTTGTCTCAGGCCTTTGTCTTATTCCTGGGGTGCCTAGACACCCAAGTCAATATTTACCTGCAGAAAGTAGGTTATGCTCCCCCCTGAACCGGTGTCTCTGTCTATGGCTTCAATTTTCAAGATGCTGCTTCCTGAAGGGGTGTTCTGTGAATCCAAACAGAGAACATAATCAGAGATGGGCATGATATAAGAAATGAGGGTGTATTAGTTAAATATAAATATACTCCTATGATGGGAAGGTAATGTGTTAGGAAAGCAAAAAGAGAGAGTGAGAACAATGAGATATTGCATTGGGAAGAAGGGGAAAGAGAATCAAGTTCATTCCTTCCCCATCCATCCCAAAATCACAGCAGCAACAAGGAGAGACACAGAGCAATGAAGAATATGTCCATGTCAGCTGTTTTTACTCTTCACTGAGCACTGAAGTGTACAGTCTGAAGCTTGGGGAAAGTCTCCGGAAAGGCAGGGTAAAAACCGACATAACATTTGACAGATGAAACCTCTATAGAGCAGTGGGAATAGTTTTAGATACGCTCTCAAAATGATCAATACAAACTTACTTTTTTGAGCTCTTATAAAATGATTTGGGCAGTTTCCTGGGGAAGCTGATTGTGGGCAGCTGTAGCTGATTGGCTAGTGCCCAGGAAATCACCAAATGCTGCCTCCCAGTCCCCAAGGCAGTTTGTAGTAGTTGTTATTACTTTTAACCTGACTTTAAAAACGAAATAAAATAATAACGGCACCTTTTCTTTCAAGACAAGGGATAACAACATATTATCATCAAATTGCAAAGCTCATCAGAAACCTTCATTTGAAGTGGAATTGCGTATGTCAACACTGCTTGACTCTTACCACAAAAGCAGCCAGTGCACAACTTACAGCCATGCTCATCATGGGGTAGCCGAACCCAATTTCCTCTCTAGTCACATTTGCTAAAAAGACCGAGTTAAGTTTCACCAACCTCCAGGACTTGGGCTATGTATGGTGTGTTGGTAAATTCTGGGCTCTCGTCATTAGCATCTGTTACAAGGATCCTGACTTTCTCAGCCACCTAAAGTTGAACATGATGCAATTTTAGACAGGAAAGTGGATTTATACCAAGGAGTGATCATATGCATACTTGGCTGCATCTTAGCCTTAATGACAACCATTTTAAGAACTACTAGGTTCAGAGCAAGAGTTCCTCAAGGGTGGCAGGTTTGATCCCCGTATGGGACAGTTGCATATTCCTGCACTGCAGGGGGTTGGATTAGGCCAGTGGTCCCCAACCTTTTTTTGGCCATGCCCCACCTAAGCATCTCTAAAACCCTGATGCCCACCCCCGCTGTGATGTATAATTCTTATTATTCAAAAAATGAACTCCTGTTCATTAAAAGGCCTAAAAGGCCATTAACTTGGTCTAAACAAGCTTCCAAAGAACATGGCATCCGTGAAAGAGAAAAATAAAAGAAAGAAAGGACAGTTGAAGTACAGTGGCACCTCAGGTTACATACGCTTCAGGTTACAGACTCCGCTAACCCAGAAATAGTACCTTGGGTTAAGAACTTTGCTTCAGGATGAGAACAGAAATCGTGCTCTGGCAGCACGGCGGCAGCAGGAGGCCCCATTAGCTAAAGTGGTGCTTCAGGTTAAGAACAGTTTCAGGTTAAGAACGGACCTCCGGAACGAATTAAGTACTTAACCCGAGGTACCACTGTACTGAGGAAGAAATCACTAAGAAATTTTTAAAATGTGTGTGTTGCAATATATATTTATATAGTAGTAGTAGAAGAAGAAGAAGAAGAAGAAGAAGAAGAAGAAGAAGAAGAAGAGGAGGAGTTTGGATTTGATATCCCACTTTATCACAACCCGAAGGAGTCTCAAAGCGGCTAACATTCTCCTTTCCCTTCCTCCCCCCAACAAACACTCTGTGAGGTGAGTGGGGCTGAGAGACTTCAGAGAAGTGTGACTAGCCCAAGGTCACCCAGCAGCTGCATGTGGAGGAGGGGAGACGCGAACCCGGTTCCCCAGATTACAAATCCATCACTCTTAACCACTACACCACACTGGCTCCCTGTATACGAGGCCCCTAGAACCATAGGAAATGCAAAAAGGTCACTGTTAATAACTCATTCTCAAATTGCCTCCCTGAAAAATCAAATTGCCCCCCTGCGGGGCGTGTGCCCCACGATGGGAACCATGGGACTAGACGATCCTCGAGGTCCCTTGCAACTCTACAATTTTACAATTCTTTGATTCTATCCGTTTCATTGAGGGACCTACGCTTCTAGCGTTTGAGGGGGGAAATGCACCTCTATCCTCTTTCTTCCAACAATTCACAGGCTAAGGTTCAAAGCCCCACATGTGGGAGGGCTTCCCTCCAATGTGAGGAAGTTAAACATTCACCCACTTCCCCATGCAGTGCAGATGAACATTGTGCCTTTTTTTGTTCACAAGATGCTATTCCCACTAAGAAAATCTTAATATGGAAATAATGTGTTTATCTGTGTCTACTCGTGAGTCAGATGCACATGTGCCAAGCCACTCTTGGAGTCTTGGTCATGCCCATGTCTGAGTGAGTGATTGAGTTACAAGGATCTGGTTGAGACAGATATGGAGGGTGGCTAAGAGCCAGGGGACTGCCCCGATATACTGTATCTTTTGCTCTATAATACTCACTTTTTCCCTCCTAAAAAGTAAGGGGAAATGTGTGCGTCTTGTGGAGCAAATGCAGGCTGCACAGCTATCCCAGAAGCCAGAACAGCAAAAACTAGGTGCGTCTTATGGTCTGGTGCGTCTTATAGAGCGAAAAATACGGGAATGCATTTTTTTTTTAAAAAATGTTTCTTTGGTTTTCAGATCAAAGTTTTACAGTCACATATCCAATATACAACATAAAAACAAGATTCCGAAGAATCTCCTGGACTTCCTTCCTCCCCTTTCTGTGTCGTATTGTTAATCATTTCCTCCTGCATCTTTTATGATAATCCAAATCTTTTACATCTCAGTTATGTCCAAAATTCACCATTAAACTACAAGTGTTATTCCAGTCCTACTAATGGTGGGTGGGTTATAATTTATCTTAAAAACCATTGTAAACACTTAAAGCCCCTGATATAATATATATCAGAGAAACCAAAAAACCTAGGGGTGATTCCTCACATCCCACAATCTATCCCTTGGAAATATCCAAGCGGTTGATTTTGCAGTTAGGAGAATGACAGCTGTTTCCTTTCCCATTATCTGATACAGAATAGAGCATGAATAGGCAACAGTGAGGAAAACCCCTTTTCTCTTGAAATACTTACCATACTTAAGCCATCTGAGATGCTGACGACAACTTCAACCTCATCTTCCCTCTTAAAATAGAAAATAGAAGAGTTGTTGTCCACAGGGTTGATGGGATCTAAGGCTCATACTTTTAGAAGTGTAAAAATACAACATTTATCAAATATTTGCTTGCTTTCTACGTAGTATCGTTTTAGCTGGCTAAATAAGTAACACATAACTCTGTCTGAAGAACGGAGTTAGGAGACCATTAACAGCAGAAACCTAGGGATGTCTGCTTAAATGTATGATCTATTGAGTTCAATGGGGCTTACTCCCAAGTAAGTGTGGGCAAGTTCATGTGCACACTTATTGTGGAGTAAGCCCAACTGAATTCAGGAATTAATTCTGAGTAAATATCCACATTGACTATAATTGTTTGTAGAGTAACCTTTTGAATATATGGAGTTTGTCTTCAATTTGTGGACTTCTTGGAAACATCCCTTTGGTGGACATAATTATGGTTACTAACATTTTATTTTAGCATGTTTATTTATGTGAAACATTATACCGCAACTATTCTTTACAAATATTAGGAAGTTTGCAATAAACTCAAATCACCCAAATTTTAAATTCCATGTATTAAAAGCTGAAAATGAGGCTTAAAAATTATTGTTATTTCTGCCATTTGCTTCATACTGATTATATTCATTTTGTCCCCCAAATTAATCATAACCAGTTGTCCTACGACTGATAGATATGGCCCTAAATTTTCACTGGAGGCAATAAACCTGTGTCTGGACTGAACCATTTTAGACCACAGGTAGACGATCATATGGTTGAATATTCCTCCCTAAAAGAAAACAAAATCTTTGCACAGAGTAAAGAGCATGTCAGGGAGATGGGCTTAAACTTAAACTCCTCCCTAGTTTCCTTTGTGTGATTTTTTTTTTTATAAAGATGAATTTGATTATGTGAATGCCCCCCCCATGACATTTTAAGTGAACAGCCCAGGTAGGGGGTTATCAGCTCAGTGGGAACTAAGCTACAAACAGCTGACACAAACAACCATCTTAAATTGATGGTGACACCACAAATAGATTGCGCTTTATTGCACTGTACCTCACGGTCCAGCTCTTCAATCAGTGTAACATTTCCATAGTTTTCATCAATAGCAAAGTACTTTCTTGACCCAGATTCAAAGGTCATGCCATAGGTTACCGGATCCCCTTCGGGATCTGTCCCATTTAATGTGTACACGTGTGTACCTGAAAGAGAGAGATTAGGACACCTTGTAGAAAAATTTGCTTTTGGAGGGTATTGTGAAGAGCTACTGCAATGTTGTTATACAGTGGAACCTCGGTTGTCGAACGTAATCTGATCCGGAAGACCGTTCGACTTCCAAAACTTTTGACAACCGAGGCGCAATTGCTGGTTGGTAAAATCCATTGTAAAAATGGAGGAATGCTCCTTGGAAGCCATTCAACTTCTGAGGCGCGTTCGAAAATGGAAGCATTCACTTCCGGGTTGTCGGTGTTCAAAAGCCGAAACATTCGACTTCCGTAGCGTTCAACAACTGAAGTTCCACTGGAGTAACATTTGTGTGTGTGAAAAAAATTGAAGTACATGGCTGACTTTAAGAAAAAACCTAGGTCATTCTTTTTCTCACTTGAGATTGAAACTAGTTTGGAGGGAAATGCATCAAAACACAGTATTTCATAAGCAGTGAGAGGCAGTGTCATAGCTTGGGGCGGTTGCCCTGAGTGCAAAATTGTCAGGGGTGGAAAATTTCGATACTTTACCTTTGGCCTGTTAAAGGAGTTCTCGTGTTTTTGTTTTGTTTTTTGTTTTGTTGTTTTGCAAGCAAACAAGCACCAAAAGCCCTGCTCTTCCGTGCCTCCCTCCCCCAAGCTGATATCAGCTAATGTTTCACTGGTTGTGCGAATGCCAGGATGTTAATAGGATGTTAAAATGGGAAGCTTTTACGGCTTCTCCTTCAGATCAGGCTTGGTGTCTGGCTGATAATTTTTACACCTTTCTCAACACAAGCTCTCCATATCATTAGCACCCGGGGAACACTTCTCAGTGTAGAATTAACACCAATTTAAAAAAAAATCTATATTTGGCATTTCTGCCTCCTCTTGCTGAAAAGAAAAGTGAATTTAAAATTAGTCTTATCTTTGTGGGCGCCAGCAAATGGAAACAGAAGCAAACACAGCAGTCTTCATCCCTTGGGGAAGGGGGAAACAAAAGCCTTTTCCTAGGTCCATTGTGATTTGTGAGCTGAAACTGAATCTTGGCATTAACCTACCTACCTAGTCAATATATCAGGGGTACCGTGAGGAGCAGTAAAACCAGTGCTATTTTTCTAGAAAAAGTGGTGCTGGAACTCGCCATTATCACCTCCCTGGTTCTCTTAGAATGGCAATGGCAACCACCTGAGAGGAACTGAATTCTGGTGAGTTCCGGCTGAAAAAAAAGCCTTGAATAAAACTCTGGAGGAAATGCCCAAGAAAAAGGTAAAACTCTGGACAGGTGAGAAGTGAAAATAGGAAGTACAGTAGGAATGGGAAAGTTAAAAAAGGTAAACAGGTAAAGGACCCCTGGACAGTTGAGTCCAGTCAAAGGCGGTTATGGGGTTGCGGTGCTCATCTGGCTGGGTTTCCCCAGCCACTCTAGACATAGTTTGGAGTAGGTCCAAGTAATGCCCACAAAAAGTATGGGGTAAAGTGGGAGGGGAATTTGGGGGTGCAAAATGTCTACAAGACCCCCAGTGTAGCTTTTTCATTTCTTCTGTGGCACTTCAAAACCAGGGTGATCCACTTCTCTGCTCCCTCCTCCATCATTTTGTTTTCCTCTCTCGCCACATGATCCTGACCAATCGAGAATCGCGTAGTGAGCAAGAGGATTTCGCACGTAGCCAATCAGAATTGGCCACCTACCGTTATTACTGGGAGCGAGCGTTGCGCTCACGTTGGTGGGAGGAGGGATGGATAATCCTCGTGTTGTCCTGACAGACCAGATGACTCTTCCTAGCTTCTTACCCTTTGCCGGAATGGGTTGTGGAATGGGGTAGGAAGAAAAGGAATTTGCCCGGATGTCTGGAAAGTGCAGAGATGTGCACAAGAAAGGAACATTTTGGAGGGCGGGCAGGTGGAAAGAGGCTTAGATGGTGGCATTCAACTGCTAAGGTGTGTTCAAGCCTGGGAAGGGAACGCTGGTAATGGGTGCCAGCCATGGTTTTGGTGAAGGAATTTGGATAGGCAAAACATGGAAGGCTGGCATGTTTGGACTGATTTATAAGAGAATGATTAAAAGAAATTAAACTCTGGTCCCCTAACTGGCAAATTTCTGGTTAAAGAAAGTCAGGCATCTGCTGCAAGTGGAGTTTTGCGTTTGACCCATGTGAGTGTAATGTTCCTGCCCTATAACAAATCCCTTGTGCGTTAATTGTGTGAAAAATACCAGATAGATAACTCATTCCAGCAAGGAAGTTCTAGAAACGAGCTTAAGTGTGCAGGGCCAATGGAAATGGAAATCCATGCTTACTAACACTTGCATCGCAATGCTCACCCAGGCCCCATTGAATTGGCTGAGTGCCGCCATTCGTTGTACAAAATTACAGCCAAAATAGCTTACACACATGCATTTGAAGGCACATGAATGCTACTTACACAATTGACCCATTTAACTCATTTCATTTATAGATAAGTGCATCGAATTTAAAGACAAGAAGAATTTTTAGGTAGACACAAGCTGCACAAATACGACTGAGTCTCTTTTCTTAGTTTTTAACAAATGAAAAAGAAACCAGAAAATTAATATTGTTATTTTGAAAAGGAGTGGGCTATATCGTAAGACTGACCGACAGCTGTGTCTTCCGCAAGGCTGAGAAGTGCCATGTTCCCGTTAGTGCTGCTAGCTCCATTGTCGAAGAAATAGGGAGCGTAATTCGCCTGAGCTGCAGGTCGGAAAGAAAACAGAACCCAAAACAAAAGCATTCTTATCACAAACAGATGAATTTGCTACCCCGCCTGCCTCTGAGTACAAAGCAAAGATCAACCCTCAAGGAATAATCTGAGTTCACAATATATCCAATTATGCTAATAGATCGCATCTACATTTTAGAAAGTTTATGGCCGTATTTAAGGGATCCTGTACTATCTGGTTAATAATACAAATGGCTATGAATCAGTTAACATATTACAGATGTACCCATATATATATAACACACAGAAAACGAATTAATCAGGATCCCACCAGACAGTCTGAAGTTTTCTGCTTGTTGAATGAGCCTTCATTAAATGCTCACTAACTGCAAAACGAGCATCTTTGACCTCCAGGCAATCCCTAAGCAATCTATTGGAGATTCTAAAACATTTTGATTTTCAGGGATGCCTATCAAGAAGCCATAATGAAATAATTACTTACTTGCTGCAAGAGAACAGCAAAGTTCAAAGAAAAAAAAAGTAAAAATGAAATGAAATTAGTTATCATTCTAATCACAGATCAAGAATCAATAACAGCCTACTTGGAGCTACAGGTAATACAATCAATGGGGGGGGGATAAGGAGGAGGGGGGACAGCCAGAAAGCAGTATTTATTTACACAGTTATCAAGAAACAGTTGCAAGGCCACATCATGAAGGATTACTAACAAAGCTTAGGCGTACGTTGCTGTCCTATAGTTTCTTAAGGAGCCAGGAGGTTTGTTGTACTTACCCAGGCAAACATGTATCAAATTGAGGAACAAAGATGGGGGCAGCTGCCATAGATGCTTCATCCCCCCAAAGCAAGGGTCAGTATCTTCTGAGTTTGGGGGCAGGTGGGTGGAAATATGGCCCCAAAGACCTGGCAGTAAGCTGTCCTTCAGCCCCGTGCAGCGGGGAGAGGCAGGAGCAGATGTTAAGATGTTAAGTGGATGACGCGTCTTAATTTCCGAGGAATTTAAAGGCGCTCCTTCCTTCCACCTAATTAGACCAATTACTTTGCAAGGAGCTCTGGGACTCATTTCTCTGCAAGAGAGTTTGGAGGAACCAACATCACTCTCTGCTGGGGCTGTTATTGTTGTGCGCTGCACTCACACCGCCCAATAAAACATTTTCCAGATCTGGAAAAGACAAGGTAAAACCTGGGTTTGAAATATCCCTCTCCCTCTTTTTTCTAACCTCGCTTTTCTTTTTTCCAGAAACGGAAGGAAGGACAATTTTTACCTCCCTCGAAAGGCTGATGGAACAAATTCTCAAAAGTAAATCAACTTTGACTTACTGAGTGAGCAGCAACATGTAGCATTCTTATAACCAGGAAATCTTTGCCTGAAAGATGGATGTAAATGTAATGAAGAGAAGCGCTCATTAATCTAGATAATTATTTTACTACATTTTCAAGACTGACTTTGTATTAGGTTTCTAATACTTGATTGATAAGTCCACCAATTTGATAACCAATATAGATAACATTTAAAAACAACGGGGCTTTTGTTTCTCACTTCACTTTATATTTGATAGAAAGAAAACTGTGGTGTTTTTTAAAATATCATTTTGAGGATTCGTGCATCGCAGGGGGTTGGATTAGATGATCCTTGTGGTCCCTGCCAACCCTGCAATTCTAGGGTTCCATGAAGCACTTATTAACATAATGTAATTCATTAAATCAAGGGCTAAACTAAAGCACTCGTCACCCAAATTTGTACCTCTAGCTTGAAAAAAGTGCTTCACAAATAATGATTTAATAGGCCCCATTCTGTGACTGAAAGTGTCAGACTGAGTTCAAAAGGATTGCAGCCTTAAACAGGGCTCTCCAAATTTGGATTTAAGAAGAAAAAAAAGCAATGAGAAATTGACTTGATTATTATTATTTTTAAATGGGACTATATCATTAGAGTTTGCACCAAATAGCACAATTGCTAGGAGTTAGGCTGAATGGAGAAAGCATTGTGCCGTTATGAAGAATAAACCTGTCTGCCCAAAGTCCTGAGGCCCCTTGGTGCAATAATATTGCTTACACCTGCAACAAAAAAAGTGTATTGCTTTTGTGTTTCATATCAATGCAGGAGAGGACATACGGATTTGGTCCACTTTGCAGTGACGCATCTCGCTAGCAACCAAACCACACAAAGCTGTTCGCCCGCGGATTGTTCCAAGTCGCTCTCTTGATGTCGCACCCGCAGCAAGAGGTGTTATAGCACATAGGAAGCATAACAAAATATCACCTCCATACCTGGAGGTGAGCTCTGTTCTGCAACACCTTCCTTGTTAACGCTTCTACGGATCTAAATAGGACTGAGGATTATGGACAGAAAGTGATACAAAGCTAAAAACACAAGCCGCAAACTCAGCAAACCCCAAAATAAAAGCCAATCCTCATTCATTGTCCGTGTGCTAAAAATTATCCACTGCTTACTACAGTTTAATAATACATTTGAAATTTCTTTAAGACACACTGATTCCCCCCCCTTTCTCATTTGGGGTGTGTGGGTGTGGGTGTGTACTATCTTTACTTGTAGTTACTTCAGGACAGTCCCAAAATACAGACTTTTGAAACAGGAATTGGAAGGTAGGTGAAAAGTTGGCACAAAGCAAATTGACTCTGGCATGTCCAACTTCCAAGAGACTGAGATCTACTCCGACTATAAAAAAACAAACTGGCAGTGATCTACAAAAGTTGTTGAGCTGTTTTGTGGCAGGTCCAATGATCTACCGCGATCTGCCACGGACACCCCACAATCTACCAATAGATCACGATCTACCTGTTGGACACTCTTGCTCCAGTAGTTTCACCTTTCAGCAGCTCTTGAATCCATTTCTATCCATTTCTCCAGCAGTTTGAAGCTCTGGTTCCTTGATCCGACTGAGGAATGCTGCACGCAACATCCATGTGCATGGGTTGGGCTAGATCAGTGTTTCTCAACCCGTGGGTCCCCAGATGTTGGTGGGCTACAACTCCCATCATTCCTAGCCAGCATGACCAGTGGTCAGGGAAGATGGGAGTTGTAGTCCAACAACATTTGGGGACCCACAGGTTGAGAACCGCTGGGCTAGATGAATCTGGGGATCCCTCCCAACTCCACAGTTCTATGATTCTATGAATGATACCCAGTGGCGTAGCGTGGGTTGTCAGCACCCGGGGCAAGGCAAGTAATTTGCGCCCCCTAACCCGTGGATTTGCACCCCCTAACCCTAACCCCCAGATGTTGCGCCCGGTGCGGCCGCCCCCCTGCACCCCCCACACTACGCCACTGATGATCCCACAAAATTTCTATGTGAATCGAAGCCTGCTTTCATATGCTTCCAGATCCTCTTTGCTAGAATGGGGTTCCATATCTCAGACTTACAAGAATTATGGATCCCCATCTCTTTTCTTGCAGTATGAGAAAGCACAAACTGAAAATTCCAAAGTGGGTCTACTTTGTCCATCCGTTTTTCACATCCATTATGAAATGTGCAAATTTAAGGATGCTCTAAAAGCATACTTTCTTTGAAAAACATATTCACATTGCAGAAACAGGTAGTGAGGAAGGCTGCAGAAGTTGGAGTCTGTCAAAGGAATTCCAAGCCCCACCCCCAACTCTGACACTTTCACAGGTTTAGAATTTCTTTCTTCTTGTTGGGCAAAATGAGGTTTTTTTTAAAAAGGGAGAGTAAAAGCTGGTTGATTTTACTCAGTTATGCCACTATGATAAAAAAACCATCTTATTCCAATTAGTTCCAAATAAAACCATGATCCCCTCCAAAAACACAAAACAACAACCACCCTCCAATAAAGTATACATTTTTATGATCCAACTGGCAGTAATTGCCAAATAACTATATTCCACAGAACTCAATCTGGCCCGATCTGAGCCTGATAAACAGAAAGTACCCATAGTCAATATTGTGGATTGCCGCGGAAACAAAATCCATTATGCTGAGACTTGGTGACATTCTTTATCTGATCATAACCTAGAAATGCAGAGGCACTTTCTCCCCTCAGGGATGCAAAATGGTCTGTCGTTATGACTGGATTTTAAACTACTTTCACTAGGGGCAAAATCACTTGTAAACAACCGTGGTTTTAGCCCAAGTATACATTTCCCCTACTTTCTAGAAATGAGGACCAAAGATTTTTCTCAAGGTGGAACTAGATACGACGCAGGGTTGGAGCCAGACAATCATAGGATTGTAGAGTTGGGAGGGACCATGAGAATCATCTAGTCTAACCCTCTGCAATACTGGAATTTTTCCCCCCAATGTGGGGTTCAAACCCATAACCCTGAAATTATGAGTTTCATGCTCTATCGCCTGGGCTAGCCCCACTATCATTAAGAGTCCCTCCAGACTGGGTTTGGGGGTTTTTTGAGGATGTATTCTGAGACATGTCATTGATGCAAAAATAACATATTACTGGTGGATTTGCCATACTTTTCCGTGTATTAGACACCCCCATGTATAAGACACCCCCTATTTGGGGGAACTCATATTTAAGAAAATGGGCTCAGAGTTGTTGAACTTTTTGGGGGAGGATTACCCAGGGTTGGTTAGCTTTTTAAAGGGGGGATTGCCAAAAATTGCTCACCTGCACGCGTCAAAAAATCAGTCTCGTGTCTTTCCCATCGCTGGCAGAAACTGCCAAACGTCCGCCCATTTACCACAGCATCAGCCAATCAACACCAGCCATTGACGCAGGAACCAATAAGCCACTGACAGCCATGGCAGCAACCAATCAAACGTCCACCCTATGCACTATCCATGTATAATACCAGGCACCCCCAAACTCGGCCCTCCAGATGTTTTGGAACTACAACTCCCCTCATCCCTAACTAACAGGACCAGTGGTCAGGGATGATGGGAATTGCAGTCTCAAAACATCTGCCAACCTAGCAGTTTGAAAGCATGCCAGTGCAAGTACATAAATAGGTACCTCTGTGGCGGGAAGGTAAATGGCTTTTCCTTGTGCTCTGATTTCCATCACAGTGTTCCGTTGTGCCAGAAACAGTTTAGTCCTGCTGGCCACATGACCTGGAAAACTGTCTGTGGACAAACGCCGGCTCCCTTGGCCTGAAAGTAAGATGAGCACCGCAACCCCATAACCGCTTTTGACTGGACTTAACCATCAAGGGGTCCTTTGACTTTTTACCTTTTTACCTTGGCTGTTAGATTTCTTCTAAGGTCCTCAGGAAGGCACTGGCCATTTTGCTCATCTGTAAAGCAACATGTTCATCAAACATTACTACATAAATTGTAAATAATAAAGCATCATTCAGCTTTCAAAGGCCTGGAAACGATGCCTTATGAGGAACGGCTAAGGGAGCTGGGCATGTTTAGCCTGGAGAAGAGGAGGTTAAGGGGTGATATGATAGCCATGTTCAAATATATAAAAGGATGTCACATAGAGGAGGGAGAAAGGTTGTTTTCTGCTGCTCCAGAGAAGCGGACACGGAGCAATGGATCCAAACTACAAGAAAGAAGATTCCACCTAAACATTAGGAAGAACTTCCTGACAGTAAGAGCTGTTCGACAGTGGAATTTGCTGCCAAGGAGTGTGGTGGAGTCTCCTTCTTTGGAGGTCTTTAAGCAGAGGCTTGACAACCATATGTCAGGAGTGCTCTGATGGTGTTTCCTGCTTGGCAGGGGGTTGGACTCGATGGCCCTTGTGGTCTCTTCCAACTCTATGATTCTATGATTCTATGATGCTATGATTCTAAGTGGCAGGGATACCTGGGAGCAAAAAGGAGAATGAGGTCTCTGTCTCTCTCTCTCTCTCTCTAGAAAGCTTTCGTGTTTTGTTTTATTTCTGCTTTTTAGTTTCCCACTGGATCCCCATCTGTCATTCTGTAAAGGGTAAGGAAACGGTTACCATGTGCAATGTGCAGCAATCCTCTCGGCTCTTGGGCTAGGGCATCGGAGGCTTACGAGTGCATGACTTGGGTCTCCATGCTCTGGCTGGAACAAAACGATGGTGCCTCTGGGC